TCCAAATCCTACTACCATGCTATATATAGTAATTTTTAAGTATTTTATCTCTAAGATTTTTTAATTTTTGTCCACGTGTATGGCCAATGCTCAGGTAGATGAATCCCACACCCCTACATAAAATATGGGAGGACCCAAAAGTTTCCTCCCACATGTAATATTGCTCTTATAGATGCTGGTGTGATAATTTTGGTATCTATGCTAAGACGGTTGCATAACAAGAAGTGCACACAGTGTTTCTTTTATGGGTAATTCCATTATCACAAGTGATTGCTTCATCACCATTTCTAAACAATTTAAAAATGGAAATCATTGCTAGAATGGTCTATAATGAAAGATATATAGTTTTTATTTTACTTCTTAATAGTATCTAGTTGGTGAAGCTTTTAAGATATATAGATTTAATTAGAGAAGTTAAATTTTTTAATGCAATTGAAATCCAACCCAATCTTCCAACCTTGATACATGGATAATACTCAAAGTGTATCTATCATGAATGATTGTATTAAATATTATAAGCTTCATAAACCATAGATTCATATTTGGCATTGTCCATGTGACATGAAGGAACTTTATAGTTGGGTGATAATAATTGGTGATAACTCATGGTAACCAAAATCTATTCCAAGGGATGCACATGAAGCCTTAGTAATCAAATGTATAGCCATTCAAATCATTATTTTCATCTCTACATATGCAATAAAATTAGTTGCCTAATCTCATTAGATAGTACTTGCTGAGATATATCCTTTAATACTAATGTAATGCATATTGTTACCCTATAATAATTTATCATGGAGCGGAACCTAACCCTTGAACACATTAACCAAGGGTAATGAAGTGAAACTCAAGTTCCATGGCCTTGGATTATTGAACAAAGGGACAAAGCCAAACTTTTAAGTATATAGCCAAGAAGTGAAAGAATTCGAATATGGAACAATTTTTGAGCATACAACTAAAGAACAAAGGAATAGAAGCATAAATTGACAATGAAATAGTCATAGAATATTCAATATTCTAATGGCAAGACCAGTATACAAAACAAAGTTAAATGGAATTTGACACTATTTCAATATACCAATATAAATGGAATTTGACACTATTTCAATATACCAATATCTAGCATGGTATGAAACTTGAGTTTAAACCCAAATTGGATATAAAACAAAAACAATGTTAGAAGGGAGTCAAATAATATCTCAATTAGACCTAACCACTATCCCTATTACGCATTAGACCCAACAAAAAATGAAAGCTAGTATGTCAGTGGTACTTTTAGAGTGTCTATCGTGGGATGAAATACATGAAGCACTTGGATCAAGTGCAAAGGTATAGATGTTATTTATGGGGGTAGCATATCCTAAGTCGATAATAGGATTTGTGAAGGTTGTGAGTGAAACTCCTTCAAATGGTCAAAACTGTGTTCAAGTGATTAAAGTAGAATGGAAAATTTAGTCACTTACATTTTGGTGAAGAATCAAACCTTGGAAAGCCACTCCAACATCTCAAGGATTAATGAAAGTGGATATTAATTGGGAATGGTGAATTTGTTCAAGCTATGGTAGTTAATCACTAAATGAAGAGACTTATCTTTTCTGAATATAAAGAAGATATATGTACACTAGCTAAAGACTAAGAAGAACCTTCAGAAAAATTCTTCTTAATATGTATGCATAACGTTTCCAACTTTAGTAGTAAAAGATTATAGATATGACTAAATGGTGGTAATTTTCTCTCTATAAGATCAGTAGAATAGTTATAAAGTTGATATGATAGCAAGATGCTAACTCTCCCCTTGTTGAAAATATCCTTGAAATCAACCTACTTAAGGGAAAAGTATATTTGATCATGATAGATGAAGTTGACATTAGATGAATAGTAATTGCAAAAAACAAGGATTATAATGGCCAAAACTCATATAAAGAAATGTGAGAAATTAATATTAGAGAAGCATAAGAAGAAGATTTGGAGAAGTGAAGAATTATTTAATTCAACATTATCATTCAACATTGGAAAGACCCATTAATATATAACTCTAATTTCCATTGGAATTATGCCATGCTTAAACTAAAAGTTACACTAGTATCCAGATCCTTGACTGAAATTCCACCCTAAACAATTGTCCAAGTCCACAGACTTTGTTGTGGTATAGGTGAGAAATGATTTGCTAGGTTTAATTGCAGTATCAAATTCCATTGTGCAATTCTCCACATGGCATGAAAAACCTTCATTTTTTAATATGTTAGTTACTCCAAGACTGAGGCCATTGGAGGAGGCACAAAGGTTTGATGATAATACTTCAATTATCATTCTTCCAATTGATTATTATAGCAAATGCTAAGATCAATGATAGTTGTAAGAGATGTTAGATCTGAATGAGAGAGTATGAAATCTTTAACATTGTTGGTAAATTTTTTTTTTAAGGGTTACATTGTCAAACTTGGTTTAAGCTCTTGAATCTGGATAAAAGAGCATAAAATCTTTGACATTATCATAAAACCCAAGGTAAGAATGTTTCTTAAGAGTTATGTTATCGAATTTAGTGTTAGCTCTTGAATTTGGACTTCCCAGAAGGTTATCCAATCTAATACTACTTAACTCAAGGTGAATGAGTAGAGGTTTAGGGTTTAATTCTTGCCATGGTTAGTATTGATTATATTTCTTAATAAATATAAAGATGGCAAATATTTGACAAGTATGTAATTTATATTATATGTTATGGCTTTAAAAGTACTTGATCTTAATCCCTGTTGGAAAAGATAGAAAAAAAAGTAGTTAAATAAAAACTTTATATAATAATAAGCACAAATAATAAATATTTTATTCCTTTATAAATTTAAATTAAAGTTACTTTAGCTCTCTTGGGAGAAGTAGAAAAGATTTATGCACTACCAATTTTGTACTGAATTCCCATCAGCATTCAGCATGAAAGTTTGTTTTATATGTAGCCTACATCTCATTGAGCTTCCTTCTCTCAGCTAAGTCCTATTTTATAAGTTTTATCAATTATCTGGAGCATAGGACATTGCCTCTCATGATGTGGCATGTGGCAGAGGCCTTTGCTCTAAAAATTACTGCATTGTGGAGGCCCTGCCATGTGTGAGTGTTGTGCTTATTTCTATCTCACTATGGTGTTGTTTTATAAAAGAAAGAGGAAAGGATAATACCTGTTGCATCTTTGATCTTCATCCTTTCTTTGGACGTAAGCAAGCCAGCGATTGTCGTGTTCCAGGTTACCAAGCTCAGCTGCTTCATCCTATGACCTGTCACTGCTCGTAAGTCATCCACATTGCTAGACTTTCTATAAAAGTTACCAGAGCCGCCATCGTATTCTCTGCCGCGAGAAACTATGGGTTGTCAGAATAGTTAGAAAGCTCACACTTTGCAGCTTGCTTGCTATATATGGCATATGTCATGATCATTGCGTTCCAGAGAACTACTGGTCGAGATGTACAATCAGATTGGAAGTGTTTGCGAGGTAGCTGAGACAATTTGAAAGGGCCTTTTCTCAGTGATGCATTTCCCACACCATTCTTCCCAGAATCGCTGGGAATTCCATTGCGTAGAAGATTTTCAAGCACCCGAGTAGATGAAAAAAAAAAAAAATCGTGCAAGAGGAAGATGATGCATACTCATTATTGGCTAATTGGTTCTTTGATATCCGAAAGCTTTGACTTGAGCTTAGAACAAAGTAAAAAGTTAATGTTAATAAGTAAAAAGGTTGAAAATTATAAACATTAATCTCCACCATAAAAGGAAAATATTCTAAGAATATTCTCAAGCACTTAATTATATAAAGTCCACTTGTGAACAGCTGCTCTGACTTCTCAGTCATTATCATGTTCCTCGAAGGCACTGCGAATGTAAATCTTGACCGGCCTTTAGGCATTCGTGATAGAAACACTTGGTTCATAAATAGGTAGGCTGCAAGAGGAATAATCGTCTTGGTTTCACAATGTCGAAGTTCGCTGTTTTGTTTGCGCTGATTGCTGCTCTGGTAGTAATTTGCTTTGTGGAAGTCGCTAGTGCTCAGAACCGGAGATGCACAAGGAGTTCACAGTGCCCATCTAGCATGCCCTTCTGCTGCAATCCCGGGATCTGCTACAGCACTCCTCCATTTGTTGGCCCTTGCTATTGATCAGTAGCATGTACAAGCACAAATGGTTGAATGAATAAACTGTTCTTTATCTGAAGCTATGCATAGTTGTTTCAGAACTCACAATTTCATGCTTTCTATCTAGTGGTGATTATCGGCGGTTTGGCCCAGTTGAAACTACAGGAATCTCACATACAAACAAATTAGCCATTAACTAGTGACATACAACAAGGCATTACCACAGGGATCATGAAATTCTCATGGAGCCGAGTTGTTATATGAGATTATTGTGGAAGAAATTGTACAAATACACTGGAAGAATTAATTGAATGTCTTAGGGTGGTGTGGATCCTTCTGGACATGCTCTGGGTGTGATAACTCATGCCGTGGATCCTCCATCTCGTGTGGAGGAGGAACCTCATCCTCCCATGGGGCCTCCTGGCGAGGACCCTTTCAGCTTTACAGTAAGACATTTCGTTCCAGAAGGAAGTTTGATGTTTTGTTGGAACAGAAACCGGACTGAGTCTCGGGATTTCCTAATAGATCCATTTCACGGAAGGCCTCAATGTAAATAGGTCAGCTGATTAAGGAAATGCTCCAACTTGCTGTTGATGGATTAGAAAAACATTTGTTTATTCATTCCGCAATTGCAGAGACCATTGTCATGCTGTTCATGAAATTCACAGATAGCAAGCCCCGATAAACGGAGGACTCTGATAGCAAATGCCCGGATTGCAACAAGTTGGCTTGTCATGCGCTTGAGCTCCCAGCTCCCAGCAAGAAGATCTCCATCGGAGCTGTGGCAAGCAGCAACAATCCCTGTCAGGTGAACCAAAAAGTCAAACCATTGATATCCTGTTGAGGCAGCCATTATCTGCTCAGGATTTTTTCCTCAAGGTGACGATAACTTCCGAACTCATGACACCTATTTCATAATGTCACCCCCATCTAAAAAAGTACACATGCCAATATCCAAATGACCAGCTCCGGCTAGGAAGACGGAAACAACGGATCCCTTCCATGACGAGACCTGAAACTTCGAAGTGATGCATGGACATACTGCCTTGTTGCACATCAATTTGAGAAGAACGTCTGATTGACTGATCTGACAGAAGAGCAACACAATATGAGATTCCTGATTCCATCCAACAAGACCAGCTACCTGCCCTCCTTCCCGTCCACGATGGAAACTAGGAAAGGAACAGGGACATTTTGCCAGTAATTGTGTGATGTAACAAAGCGAGAGCAGAGCTTGAGACTTGAAGCAAAGAACAAAAACAAAATAGAAAGAACCGCAAGAATTTCAAGAGAAAGCAAACACAAATTCAATACACAAGGAGAAGAGAAAAGAAAAACGTAACACTTACTTGATCCAAAGAATGGTTGTTTGGTGCGAGATCCCAGCCTCTAAAGCTCAGCGCATACTTCGAGTCTTCATGCTCGAGGATATCCCACCCCCCAAGGTTCGCGGCGTGCAAAAGAAGGAAGCGGAGCTCTTTTTGGCGGCGGTGGCGCTAGTGTTCTTGAGCGCACTGAGCGCAAACAAGGAAGCCAGAGGGTCCCCGGCATCGCTGGTCAGCAGCTTCTTCTTCCTCATCTCCACCACTCCGCTCTCCTTGCACACGAGCTCGGTGTTAGGGCAGAACCGCTCCAGGAACTCGCAAATCGGCATGTCCAGTGGAGCTGGAGCTGCGCCAGGAACTCGGCGATCTGCGCGTCGCGGATGGCTCGAATCGCCGCCGCCCTCGCTTGCACTGTCGAGACCAAGATTGAGAGATTTCCCCCCGAATGCAGCCTCTCACCTTGCAAATCTATCGCCCGGCACAGCTCCGCCACGCGATCATCCTCCGCCGCCGCCGCGTCCTCCTCCTCCTCCCCCGCCCTCGCATTGCTGCTCTTGACGGCCAGCGCCCTCCTCTTCCTCGCCATGAGCCCTAAAATCCCAGGATGCGAGCGAATATCCGAGGTAGCTTTAAATCTCCCTCCAACGGCTACACGCGTCTCGCGATTCGAGCCCTGACCGAAAGATCCGGGGAATATATCAGTGCCAGTCCTTGTCACAAGTCAAACATTGATGAACACGGTGACAACTGCTCGTTTGACTTTGAAAGTGTTGCTTTTACCGACCAAGAAGTTCGATTACATTTTTTGTTTTATAAAAGAATGAGGAAAGGATAATACCTGTTGCATCTTCGATCTTCATCCTTTCTTTGGACGTAAGCAAGCCAGTGATTGTTGTGTTTGTTTGGCGGAAAGCAAGAGGACAATGCTTACGGCCGCCCAGTCTTTTGTAGTAGTGGTACCACCCCATTAAAATCGATCGACCTGTGCCTATGCTTCCAAACAATACCTCGGTCAAATTCCCACTTTTTTTTTTTTCTTGTTTTACTGATTGATTGACCAGCGATGATTAAAGTAATAATTCATTCTTTTGAGTTTTTTTTTTTAAATTGGGGACAAACGAGAAGCTCCAATTTTCACTGTATGGCTTCCATGCAAATCATCAGCTGCGAATCATCCATCCAAGGTGGCGGTGGTTCGCATGCCTCGTTTTTCTTGGGTGTTTTTTGTTCTTGCTGTGCGAAGGTACATGAATGGGGGGGTATGGAAAATTCGCCAACCTCCAATGGGAATAAGCCCCTCTTGGTGTGAGCTCCTTATAGTGCACGCTCCACTCAATCATGTACGCAATCATGGAAAGCACGCACACACACGCCCACCACCTTTGCTTTACAGAAGAAGAACACTTCAAACGAAATCTCCCTTCTCCCCAAGCAAAAAGCAACAATCTCGTTGCACAATCTCCAACAGTGGATTGGAAATGAGAGCCAATATCGATTCATCCTTAAGGGTACATTGTTGGTACCACGTGAGAGATAGAACGAGAGTGGAAAGTTAAATAAGAAGGAGATCGAGAAAACACTGACAAAAACGAGCTTAGATTTAAAGGTGGTGTGAGCTGGCAGGCAAGCTTCCCCATTCATTGTCAACTTCCCTTTTGGATTTTTTTGGCAGTCAGGGATTCCTCGGCGTTATCCTAAAAGTATTCACCCGCATTTTGACTTGGGAGATGGTCGCGTATTTGCCCACTTGTGGTGAATCTTGATCATGATCTCAGCCGTTCCATTTAGAATTCCGCCCAAAGCGTTCGTGATCTCTGTGAATCAATCCATCCCCTTTACCTTGTTTACTTTTCTATGATATAATCAAGAGATAGTGCTTGCCCTCTTTAACGCTGGTCTCTACAACAAAAACTTTGAACTCTTAAAGGAAACTTTGAAAAACCTTGAATTCCTCCATGTTGACCAAATTGCTTATATCTCTGCCTACTTGTCCAGCCAAAAATAATTCCTTTTTTTTTTTTTTTGTGGGGCTTGTGAATCATCAGCAGCTCAAGGGGCAGTAGATTCAAGAGGTGGGATAAAAAGAAGGTAGTAGCAAGAGAGAGCTCATGTTTAAAACTTGCACATTTAGTGAAGTGTTAGGAGAAATCAGAAAGGTGGGTGAATAATAAGCAAGATCAGGAGACACCAAATGGGCTCACAAGAAATTTTTTCCCACATTTGTCCACACACACACACAAGCTCACATAATACAATATAAAAAGGTAACCAAAATCCATACCTAATGAACAAATGCGAAGCCTTTTGCACCTAAATGTGTACCACTTGAATCATTATTTTAATCTTTATGTATGTAATGAGATTAATTGCTTAATCTCAATAAATAATACTCGCTAAAACATATCCTTTAATACCAAATGTAATACACTTTATTTCTCTCCCTTTAAAATAACTAAAAAAGGGGTAATTGTTTAATGAAAAAGTCTTTAGTGGTTATTTTATCCCCATTTATCCCCTAAAATTTCAAGGATCCATGGTGACAGTATATTTAAATCTTATCCTATGATCATATGTGCTACTTTGAAATTCCATCCTTATGCTTATCTAATTAAATGCACACACAAAGACCAATTTCTCAACTAGTTTAGGTGGAGATTGAAAAAGGGACTAACAATACTAACTTTTTGCCATTGTGGTAGTAAAGAAAGAATATCCAAAAAGATTAGCTGATAAGTAACTTTCGATACTCGAAGTTACATTCGCGATACCGAAATTGGGTTTGAAATGGAAACCGAGATTGGGACCGAGGCTAAGACCGAGACCAAGACCGAGTTTGAGTCTAAGTTAGAGTTCAAGTCCAAGTCCAAGTCTGAATTTGAGAGTGAAAGCTCAAAGTGATTGTCTCCCAAACTCTAAAGGGTTTGGTGAGCTCCAAAAGTATGGAGGACTTTAGTGGAATTAATTTGGCTAAAAAATGTTAATGTGATCAAAGAAGGTTATACCCATATAGTGGGTGATGATATAACCACTAAGGAGTCCAAGGCTATAATGAACATGAATGGATAAGTGGGATAACTTAAGTGTTTAAGAGCAAGCTCTAGCTTTCTTAAGAAATCGAATAGTCAATGCTCTCAATCCAAATGTGGGTGCATTACCTACTTGGATACTAAATGTGGTTCATTGGAACCTCGCTCTAGCCACATAGCTAGGGCACCCAAAGGCCAGGGAGTAAGGAGAGTACCTATGAGACTTGCATTTGGTTGTGGTGTTTCAAAATGTTGTCCCATATAAAAAAGAAGAGGAGTAGTCCTTATGTATATTAACTAAAAGCATGGTCACATGGTGAAAAAGTCCTAGAAGTCAGTGACACTTAGTGGTCAAACTTTTGAGCCCTGACCTAGTGGTGGCATTGGCAAGCACAACCATGGATGGAGAGGGACTTAATGGGGGCTGAAGAAGGGACATTAGGGAAGGGTGTTCCTATGTTTTTGGACATCTTAAGGATGTTAAAATGTGGTTATGGGATGGCCACTCATAAATAGATGGCCCAGTCTTTGAAAGATGGGACTATAGCATAGGTGATCTTAGACTACCAAAAAGATAAGGGTAAATGAACATAGCTTTAAATATGTAGAGCACTTGGACAAAGTGCAAAATCTAAGTGGCATATATGCCATTCATGGGGCTAGCATATCCCCAAGTCGAAAATAAAATTTATAAAGGTTGTGAGTGAGACTCTTCCAAATGGTCAAAGTTGTGTTCAAGTGATTAAAGTAAAATGAAAAATTTAATTACTTACAATTTGGTGAAGAATCAAACCTTGGAGAGCCATTCCAACATCTTAAGAATTAATAAAAGTAAATGTTAATTGAGAATAGTGACTTTGTTCAAGCTATAGTAGTTAATCACTAAATGAAGAGACTTGTCCTTTCTGGATATAAAGAAAATATATGTGCACTAGCTAAAGACTAAGAAAAACCTTTAGAAAAATTCTTCTTGATATGTATATATAAGGTTTCCAACTTTAGTAGTAAAAGATTATAGATATGACTAAATGGTAGTAATTTCCTTTCTATAACATCAATAAAATAATCATAAAGTTGATATAATGGCAAAATATTAACTCTCCTCTTGTTGAAAATATCCTTAAAATCAACCTACTTAAGGAAAAAGTAAACTTGATCATGATAGATGAAGTTGACATTGCATGAATAGTAATTGCAAAGACAAAACTAGAATTATAATGGCCAAAACTCATGTAAAGAAATGTGAGAAATTAATATTAGAGAAGCATAAGAAGAAGATTTGGAGAAGGGGAGAATTGTCTAATTCAACATTGGAAAAACCTTTAATATATAACTTTAATTTCCATTGGAATTGTGCCTTGCTTAAGTTAAAAGTTACACTAGAATCCAGATCCTTGACTGAAATTCCACTCTAAACAATTGTCAAGTCCACGAGACCTTACTATAGTATAGGTGAGGAATGATCTGCTAGGTACTTGATTGCAGTATCAAATTCCACTGTGCAATTCTCCCTACAGTGCTAAAAAACCCTTATTTTCTCATATGCTAGTTACTCTAAAACTGAGGTCATTAGACGAGGCACAAAGGTTTGATGATAATACTTCAATTATCATTCTTCCAATTGATTATTATAGCAAATACCAAGATCAATAGCAGTCGTATGAGATGTTATATCTGAATAAGAGAGTATGAGATCTTTGATATTGTCACAAAAGTCAAGGTAAAAATGTTTTTTAAAGGCTATATCATCGAACTTGGTGTAAGCTCTTGACTTCGGATGAGAGAGCATGAAATCTTTGACATTATCATAAAAGCTAAGATAGAAATGTTTCTTAAGGGTTACTTTAGTGTAAACTCTTAAATTTAGACTTCCCAAAAGGTCACTCAACCTAATATTACCCCAAGAATGTTAAACTAAATCCTAAAACTTTTAATCAATTGTACATTTTTATTCATGGCCCATTTGAACCCTAATAGATCATCTCTTAAGTCGTTCGTTTTAATTGCTTACACTCAAACCATCAAACTTTATTAGCATATAAATCTTTATCTTTAAACAAAAAAGTCATTGTTGGTGCTAAATATGCTAAAGCTACATGTAAAGTACTATATTGCATTATTTCAACACTTAATATAACTTCCATAGCATATCAAGATTTAACTAGAGTTGAAGAAAAGGATCTAAGAGAGCTAGTGATATTAGATCATATTAGAGCCATGAAAGAGATAGCAATGCAATTATTAAGAGCTCATTGTTGAAAGAAGGAGAAATAATGAACCACTAATAAAATATAAGAAAAAAATAAATTTGTGTTAAGCACCTTTCAAAACTCTATTTTTATAAAGTCTTTGGAATGCCCAAACTAATCCAAACATGTAATTTAAGTTTGGGTTCATATTAATCCCAAATACTCATTAGGAGGAGGTGAATTCAAATCCCATGGGGTGTTTCTTAATAAATATAAAGATGGCAAATATTTGACAAGTGTGTAATTTACTTTATATGTTATGAATTTAAAAGCACTTGATCTTAATCTGGAAAAGATAGAAAAAAAAGTGGTTAAATAAAAACTTTATATAATAATAAGCACAAATAATAAATATTTTATTCCTTTATAAATTTAAATTCTATTTACACATAAAGTTACTTTAGCTCTCTTGGGAGAAGTAGAAAAGATTTATGCACTACCAATTTTGTACTGAATTCCCATCAGCATTCAGCAACCTACATCTCATTGAGCTTCCTCCTCTCATCTAATACCTATTTTATAAGTTTTATCAATTATATGGTAGGACATTGCCTCTCATGATGTGGCATGTGGCAGAGGTCTTTGCTCTAAAAATACTGCATTGGGGTGCCCCTGCTATGTGTGAGTGTTGTGCTCCAGGTTACCAAGCTCAGCTGCTTCATCCTCACTGCTCATAAGTCATCCACATTGCTAGACTTTCTATAAAAGTTTACCAGAGCCGCCATCATATCTCTGCTGCGAGAAACTATGGATTGTCAGAATAGTTAGAAAGCTCACACTTTGCAGCTTGCTTGCTATATATGGCATATGTCATGATCATTGCGTTCCAGAGAACTACTGGTCGAGATGTACAATGAGATTGGAAGTGTTTGCAAGGTAGCTGAGATATTCAATTGATTCAATTTGAATGGGCTTTTTCTCAGTGATGCATTTCCCACACCATTCTTCCCAGAATCGCTGGGAATTCCATTGCGTAGAAGATTTTTAAGCACCCTAGTAAGGAAAGATGTAAAAAACTAAAAAATAAAAAATCATGCAAGAGGAAAATGATGCATACTCACTACTGGCTAATTGGTTCTTCGATATCCAAAAGCTTTGACTTGAGCTTGCATCACCCTAAAACAAAAAGTTAATGTTAATAAGTAAACAGGTTGAAAATTATAAACATTAATCTCCACAATAAAAGGAAAATATTCTAAGAATATTCTCAAGCACTTAATTATATAAAGTCCACTTGTGAACAGCTGCTCTGACTTCTCAGTCATTATCATGTTCCTCGAAGGCACTGCGTATGTTAATCTTGACCGACCTTTAGGCATTCGTGATAGAAATACTTGGTTCATAAATAGGTGGGCTGCAAGAGGAATAATCATCTTGGTTTCACAATGTCGAAGTTCGCGGTTTTGTTTGCGCTGGTTGCTGCTCTAGTAGTAATTTGCTTTGTGGAAGTCGCTAGTGCTCAGGACCGGAGATGCACAAGTAGTTCACAGTGCCCATCTAGCATGCCCTTCTGCTGCAATCCCGGGATCTGCTACAGCACTCCTCCATTTGTTGGCCCTTGCTATTGATCAGTAGCATGTACAAGCACAAATGGTTGAATTAATAAACTGTTCTTTATCTGAAGCTATGCATAGTTGTTTCAGAACTCACAATTTCATGCTTTCTATCTAGTGGTGATTATCGACGGTTTGGCCCAGTTGAAATGAGAATTTCATGATCCCTGTGGTAATGCCTTGTTGTATGTCACTAGTTAATAGCTAATTTGTTTGTATGTGAGATTCCTGTGCTGTAAAGTAGTGGAGCGATGTTATATGAAATTATTGTGGACGAAATTGTACAAATACAATGGAAGAATTAATTGAATGTCTTATGGTGTGGTTCCTTCTGGACATGCTCTGGGTGTGATAACTCATGCCGTGGATCCTCCATCTCGTGTGGAGGAGGAACCTCATCTTCCCATGGTGGCGAGGACCCTTTCAGCTTTACAGTAAGACATTTCGTTCCAGAAGGAAGTTTGATGTTTTGTTGGAACAGAAACCCGACTGAGTCTTGTTGCGGAATATAGAGGTCCATTGCCGGGTCCGTTGCTTGTGGACGGGATTTCCTAATAGATCCATTTCACGGAAGGCCTCAATGTAAATAGGTCAGCTGATTTAGGAAATGCTCCAACTTGCTGTTGATGGATTAGAAAAACATTTGTTTATTCATTCCGCAATCGCAGAGACCATTGTCATGGTGTTCATGAAATTCACGGATAGCAAGCCCCGATAAACGGAGGAGTCTGATAGCAAATGCCCGGATTGCAACAAGTTGGCTTGTCATGCGCTTGAGCGAGCAGCTCCCAGCAAGAAGATCTCCATCGGAGCTGCGGCAAGCAGCACCAGCACTTTTCCTATGAATATAACTGGTTCCAGAGCCAAGTGTCGGCCCAAATGACAAGTCGATAGGAAAAGAACGTCTGTTTCCGGAGCAGGTTCAATCCTTGTCAGGTGAACCAAAAAGTCAAACCATTGATATCCTGTTGAGGCAGCCATTATCTGCTCAAGATTTTTTCCTCAAGGTGACGATAGCTTCCGAACTCATGACACCTATTTCATAGTGTCATTCCCATCTAAAAGTACACATGCCCATCCAAATGACCAGCTCCGGCTAGGAAAACGGAAACAACGGATCCCTTCCGTGACGAGACCTGAAACTTCGAAGTGATGCATGGACATACTGTCTTGTTGCACATCAATTTGAGAAGAACGTCTGATTGACTGATCTGACAGAAGAACAATACAATATGAGCTTCCTGATTCCATCCAACAAGACGAGCTACCTGCCCTCCTTCCCGTCCACGATGGAAACTAGGAAAGGAACAGGGACATGCCAGTAATTGTGTGACGTAACAAAGCGAGAGCAGAGCTTGAAATTTGAAGCAAAGAACAAAGACAAAATAGAAAGAACCGCAAGAATTTCAAGAGAAAGCAAACACAAATTCAATACACAAGGAGAGGAAGAGAAAAGAAAAACGTAACACTTACTTGATCCAAAGAATGGTTGTTTGGTGCGAGATCCCAGCCTCTAAAGCTCAGCGCATACTTCGAGTCTTCATGCTCGAGGATATCCCACCACCCAAGGTTCGCGGCGTGCAAAAGAAGGAAGCGGAGCTCTTTTTGGCGGTGGCCGCGGCGGCGGCGGCGGCGGCGGCGCTAGTGTTCTTGAGCGCACTGAGCGCAAACAAGGAAGCCAGAGGGTCCCCGGCATCGCTGGTCGGCAGCTTCTTCTTCCTCATCTCCACCACTCCGCTCTCCTTGCACACGAGCTCGGTGTTAGGGCAGAACCGCTCCAGGAACTCGCAAATCGGCATGTCCAGCATCTCCTCCGACAAGCTCGCCTGCTGGAGCTGGAGCTGCGCCAGGAACTCGGCGATCTGCGCGTCGCGGATGGCTCGAATCGCCGCCGCCCTCGCTTGCACTGTCGAGACCAAGATTGAGAGATTTCCCCCCGAATGCAGCCTCTCACCTTGCAAATCTATCGCCTGGCACAGCTCCGCCACGCGATCATCCTCCACCGCCGCCGCGTCCTCCTCCTCCTCCCCCGCCCTCGCATTGCTGCTCTTGACGGCCAGCGCCCTCCTCTTCCTCGCCATGAGCCCTAAAATCCCAGGATGCGAGCGAATATCCGAGGTAGCTTTAAATCTCCCTCCAACGGCTACACGCGTCTCGCGATTCGAGCCCTGACCGAAAGATCCGGGGAATATACCAGTCCCAGTCCTTGTCACAAGTCAAACATTGATGAACACGGTGACAACTGCTCGTTTGACTTTGAAAGTGTTCCTTTTTACCGACCAAGAAGTTCGATTACATTTTTGTTTGGCGGAGAGCAAGAGGACAATGCTTACGGCCGCCCAGTCTTTTATAGTAGTGGTACCACCCCATTCAAATCGATCGATCACCTGTGCCTATGGTTCCAAACAATGCCTCGGTCAAATTCCCACTATTTTTTTTTTCTTGTTTTACTGATTGATTAACTGGTGACGATTGGGTGACCAGCGACGATTAAAGTAATAATTCATTTTTTTGAGTTTCTTTTTTAAATAGAAGCTCCAATTTTCACTGTATGGCTTTCATGCAAATCATCAGCTGCGAATCATCCATCCAAGGTGGCGGTGGTTCGCATGCCTCGTTTTTCTTGGGTGTTTTTTGTTCTTGCTGTGCGAAGGTACATGAATGGGGGGGGTATGGAAAATTCGCCAACCTCCAATGGGAATAAGCCCCTCTTGGTGTGAGCTCCTTATAGTGCACGCTCCACTCAATCATGTACGCAATCATGGAAAGCACGCACACACACGCCCACCACCTTTGCTTTACAGAAGAAGAACACTTCAAACGAAATCTCCCTTCTCCCCAAGCAAAAAGCAACAATCTCGTTGCGCAATCTCCAACAGTGGATTGGAAATGAGAGCCAATCTTGGGAAAATTGTCTATCGATTCATCCTTAAGGGTACATTGTTGGTACCACGTGAGAGATAGGAGTGCAAAGTTAAATAAGAAGAAGATCGAGGAAACACCGACAAAAACGAGCTTAGATTTAAAGGTGGTGCGAGCTGGCAGGCAAGCTTCCCCATTCATTGTCAACTTCCCTTTTAGATTTGTTTAGCAGTCAGGGATTCCTCGGCGTGATCCTAAAAGTAATCACCCGCATTTTGACTTGGGAGATGGTCGCGTATTTGCCCACTCGTGGTGAATCTCGATCATGATCTCAGCCGCTCCATTTAGAATTCCGCCCAAAGCGTTGGTGATCTCTGTGAACCAATCCATCCCCTTTACCTTGTTTACTTTTCTATGATATAATCAAAGAGATAGTGCTCGCCCTCTTTAACGCTACAAAAACTTTGAGCTCTTAAAGGAAACTCTGAAAGGCCTTGAATTCCTCCGTGTTGACCAAATTGCCGCCTACTTGCCCTTTTGCAGCCAAAAATTAATCCTTTTTTTTTTTTCTTGTGGGGCTTCTGAATCATCAGCAGCTCAAGGGGCAGTAGATTCAAGAGGGATAAAAAGAAGGTAGTAGCAAGAGAGAGCTCATGTCTAAAACCTGCACATTTAGTGCAGTGTCAGGAGAAATCAGAAAGGTGGGTGAATGACAAGCAAGATCAGGAGACACCAAAGGGGCTCACAAGAAATTTTTTTCCCACATTTGTCCACACACACACACACACACACACACACCTATATATATATATGAGTTGAATGGCTGTCCCAATCTTCCTTTCTTTGAAATCTTCTTCTCCTTCGGGTCTACTGCTCGCAGTGGTACTCGTATTGGCGCTGGAATCTCACGCGGTATCGCTAGATGCGCGAAGATTTCTCCGCTCTTCCTCTTCTTCTTCAATTAGGATCCTGTTTGGCACAGTCTACTGCGATAGTTGCCTGGAAGCGAGGCTCACGCGCAACAGCATAGTCTTCTCAGGTAAAGATAAAGCAAGAAAGAGAGAGAGAGAGTTGTGGTCTCACTGTTAAATCCATGGTACTTGTCAAACAGAGGCCGAGATCCAAATCGAATGCGTCGGCAGCCGCGGGAATCCAGATCACTCCACCGTCGTGAGCACCAACGAGACGGGGCAATTCCAGGCCCAAATCCCACCACAGTTCGACGCTTGCTCCGTCCAGTTCTTGAGCAAAGCTCTCGACTCTTGCGCCACTCCGGCGGCAGCATTTGCTACGTCCGCCTCACTCGATCAGCCGCGTGATCTCGTGTTCCGGCCAAGCCAAGCGCTGGCCTTCTGTTCCACTCCCGCCAGGCGCGAGGCGCTAACGTTGGGGCCGCCAGAACCTCCGAAAAAGAGCACGCAGGGTTACAAGCTCGACCCCCCGGAACCCCCTCGGCCCCGGAAATTCGTCGTCACTACAAAGGCGTACCACCTCGGCCCCCCGAATCCTCCGCAACCGAGGACTGCCAACCACAACTAGCTTCTTTTCTCTCTTGTATACACATACTCAAAAGTGAAGTTTGATGAGTTCTTCGCGGTGTCTTGGGAGTCCATGGATGGAAATCCTGGGGATTGACATGAGTTTTTTTTTGGGCTGTAAACAAACACCGCTACGTGGTCCTCTCTTGTTCCTTGTCTACTTTCCGACTTTAAAGGAGTTTGGTCAAACATGCAGCATTTAAGAGATCTCACCTCTCTGCCTTACCGTGTCCGTCTCGATCGCCAGAAACAAACCAACAACCGCGAGAAAACAAAGCGCAAAAGTCATCGCAAACAAGCGAGGGCTTTGGCGGGAGCTCAGACCCTTAGATGTTCTTTTGTCGTGATCATGGCCACGATAAATCAAACACGAAAAACTTGGTCATCACAGCACACCCTCTTTTCGTGTCAATGTGTCCTGCTCCGAAATCACAGCGCATCCAGTTCACAATGAAGGAGGAAGCGCGTTTGATGCAGGACAGAGACATTTGGCTTCAAGGGAACGAGCCGAAAAGCACAGAGTTAAGCCTTACGACTAACTTAGAGAAGCCGCCCACCCAAGAACAACACGGAAAACCCGAGAAAATACCAAGGAAGATCAAAGCGTCAGATAGGAGCGAAAGACATAGTGCTTATAGTCAGCGCCCATTGTGGGACTCATCTGAACTATGTTATCATCACGCGCTAGAACACGCTACCATCGCTACGGCCTCTCTCAAATACTCGACCTTCGCGCCGCCCCCAAGCCCTAGCCCAAAAACCCTAGAAAGTTCTAGGGCTGGCGTGGCTAGCAAATGGTGTAAAATTTAGGGCTGACGTGACAAAATTAGAATGACGTGTGCAACTGACGTGGCGTTCACAAGGGGACTTTTCTTTTTAACGGCCCCGGCGGCCAGACGCTGCCAGTCTCGCTTTGTCGAGGTTGTCTTTGAGGCCCAGCTTGGCGATCACCACCTTGTAGCTGTCCATGTTTGTTCTTCGCAGGTATAGGAGATGCTTCTTCCTCTTCTCGACCATCGCGCGGAGCCCCCGTTGCGATGAAAAGTCCTGCGATTTGGTAACTCCTTGTAAGAGATCGAGATCGACATCTTGGGAGCTTGGTGGCGTACCTTTTTGTTGTCTTTGAGATGAGTTGCGACGTATTTGATCCGCTGGGTGAGGAGCGCAACTACAAAGGATGTTTTTCCCCGGGAAAAGTGAGAAACAATTGCTGGGATGGGAAGGAAAACGTACCTTGAACTTGTGACGATCCAACATCGGCTTCATGGAGCTTAAAGGCGTCGACAATTTCCTTCACTTCCATTTTGCCGGGAGACGAGCCAAAAAACTGCCAAAAGCAGGAGAAAAAGAATCAGAGAAGAAAATGACGAGGAATGTCATACCTTCTTTGTGATCCGCTCCTTCTTGACCTTCCCTACAGCGATCAATCAATCCAGAAGTTAAAACCAACAAATTCGATCTAGCAACGAAAAAGGAAACAAAAAGAAGCAATGCAAGTTCTTACCAGCCTTGGGTTGCTTGTCCTCCGTATCCAAGCTCTTGAATGTCCCAAACTTCATGCTCTTGCTGCTATCATCCGGCTTCTTCTTCTCGTCCATCACCTTGAAAAGATCCGACAGCGCGCTGCTCGTCGACGCCTGCTGCTGCTCCTTGTCAGCCGGCTTAAACTTGAGCAGATCATCGAATTCCGCCAGGAAATCTCTACCTGAGAATCCATCGCCCTTCGGCCCGGAGCTTCCAGCCGCGGCGGTAATCAATCTCCTCCTACTCTGCGCCGGCAATCTCTGGATGATACGTGGCCTGCATTGCGTGCGCAGTACTTCGCAGCGCCGCCGATCAAACCCTACCGTGTGGCTGCTACACACCGTCGCAGTTTGCATCCTTCCCCCACTTCGTGCTACATTAGGGTTCTAGCCTTGTGACGGGGATCACGACACGTGGCAGATAGCAACACAGGAGGTCCAGCGCTCGATTCCCTCCCAGGAAAACACAAGCAAACACACTCCCGCCAATTCGTTTCAAACGCACTCCGCCACGTCATCGATCCGAGCCGCGATGCCGTTGGATCTGTGCTTTCAATCGAGCGCCTGGGCATCGCGCGCGAGAGGTATATAAGCTCTCCCCGGATTCTAGGTTTCTACAGTTCTAAGTTTTTATCTTCGAGCAGCGCCTCCTCCCAAGTAAGTCTCCAGTTCTTCTCTAGATCTAGAAGATCGATCATGTCTGGGAGAGGCAAGGGAGGCAAGGGTTTGGGCAAGGGCGGCGCCAAGCGCCACCGCAAGCATCTCCGCGACAACATCCAGGGCATCACCAAGCCGGCGATCCGGCGTCTGGCTCGCCGTGGCGGCGTGAAGCGAATCAGCGGGCTGATCTACGAGGAGACCCGTGGCGTGCTCAAGATCTTCCTGGAGAACGTCATCAGGGATGCGGTCACCTACACGGAGCACGCTCGGCGCAAGACGGTCACTGCCATGGACGTCGTCTACGCGCTCAAGAGGCAGGGTAGGACCCTGTACGGCTTTGGCGGCTAGGGCGGATTCCACGCAAGCAATCTTGGGAGTGAGCCCCAGGCTTGTAAATTCTCTCATTCCCCTCTTTTGCATTTCTGTACGGACACTACTATAGTTCCAAAAATTCTTTGTTTTGTCTCGAGATTTTAGGGTACATGGAATGGAATCTTTTTCAATGTAGACAATCTAAGCTTAGATCCAAAGATTTATGTTGGATAAGAATGGAAGCTTAAAGAAGTCCGTCAATAATTGGGTGGAGACTGACCACTGGATCACCACTGACCGGTCACCACCGACCACTATAACCAATTGTTCTTGCTCTTTCCACGGAAGGATCTCTTATCTTGAGACGCTCGCATTGGCTACTGGGATTTCTTCCGTCGCCAATGATTCCAGCGAGATTGACTGTTGCTCTTCGCTGCGCCGCCCACTCGGAGCTGCAAGTGGAGGGAGGCCGTCGTCGCCACACACGAAATTTTTTCGAAGCAGCCAAGCGAAGGACACCCCAGATGTTGAAAGCCCCCTTTTTGCCGGGGAAATGAAGAGTAGAACAGGAAAAAAACGAAAACCAGAACCGGAAGAGAAATGGTCACGCAACGAATGTGGCGATCGGTGGATGGGAGTTAGAGAGAAAATTGACAATCGATCGAACCGAAAAAAAGAATGGGAGAGGAGGAGCCAGGCAATCAATCAATCGCTCGCGTCAGACCTTGAGGAGGCGATCGTGATACCTGTCCGAGTAGAGCGCGATCCTGTTAGCGGGCAGATTGGATCCCAGCAGCGCCTCCACTTTCTTGGAGATTGGCCGGTGATCGCCGGGCGGCGGCGCTCGATCCACCGAAATCTCTGGAGCTGCGCTCGTTGCCGGCGCCGGCTCGCCTCCCTGATCCGAAATCTCCTGATTGACGCTCCCCCGACCCTTGCGAGACCTCCGAAACTCGCGATTGTCGCCCTTGGGCTCCACGACCGAGTCGGAGAAGCGGACCTTCTTCTTGGGCTTTGCGGCGGGCGCCCGATCCTCGAAATTCTGCTGCTTGAGCCGGTGGAACCTGTTGGCCGCGATGTAGATCACGCTCCCAGACACCATAATCACCGCAACAATCCCTGGCGTCAGCTTCGCCATCGCCAACAAACGAGAGGAGACGAGACGATCCCCAAGAAGCGTCAATCTTTGACAGCGCGGGGGAAGGAAGGCGAACGGTCAAATCAACCCGGATCCATCATCGTCGAAGAGGGTCGGATCTGGCAGCCAGGGGATCTTGGCCACTTGCGATCGATTCCGCCGCCGCATCATCCTGTATACGCAAAGAAAAGCCCTTTCGTCCTTTGTGTCCCTGTTTGTATATCCGCGTGAGGATATTCCGTCATCTACTTATTTTTAGACAATGACCTTTTAGGGTTCTTCGGAAACATCACTTTTAGGGTTCTTCGGAAACATCGCTTTTAGGATTCTTCGGAAACTTTAACTTTATAAATTTTTAGGGTTCTTGGGGAAAATGTCTAGAGAACGCCGAAGAAGGGATTGGTGGTCGCCGATGAGAGCTCCTTGTCTGCAGCTCTCAGCACCCCAATGTCGACACTCTGCGCCGCCAGGTTCAAAAACTCGCCGCTCGGGTCCAGCTCGAAGCCGCACAGCTCCAGAAACTTGACGCCGCCGAGATCCCCGACGCGCTCCTGGAACGTGGGATTGGTCACCCGGATCTTGCGAAACTTCTCCTCCTGCGGGGCGCGCCCAATGTTCCCCACGTAAGTCTGGAGCGTCTGGAACGCCTTCTTCACCTTCGCGTCCTGATCCTTGTGAGATTGCTTGATGGATCTCAGGCAGCTCCGGAGCTCCTCGGCCTTGGACGCTGCCTTTGGCTGCTGGACTGGCTTGGTTTCATCTGCTGGACGAGCTGCCGCTGGAGCTGCGAGTGGCGCTGCTGCTTGATCAGCCGGCTTGGGTTCTTCCGGCGGCAAGCCCAGCTTCCGCCGCCTCTCCGCTCGATCCTCCTCGATCTTTTGCCGGATCTTGTCTCTCGCGCGCTTCTCCTCCTCCTTCTCCGCCTTCCTGTACATGAGGATCCGCTTCCTCTCGCTGTCCTCCTCCTTGCGCTTGGCCTCGAGGAGCTCCTTCCCGACGCGGATCCTCTCCTTCTCTCGCTCCCTCTCCAGCTTCTTCTCCTCCTCCTCTTTCTTCTTCCGTGCTCGCTCCACCAATTCTTGCGCCTTAGCCTTGGCCTCCTCGGGAGTGAGAGCCGGCTTTAGCGAGCTCGCCGGAACCAAGAGCTCCTCATCGATATCTGGATCGTTCTCGTGCTCCACGATCCAATTCACGGCGCCTTCCAAGTTCTCGGCCTTGCTGTAGAACAAGCTCCGGACGGATCGAGCGCGCGGGAATCCCATCGCTTCCAGCTCCTCGAGGAGCTGCTGGTTCACCTCCGGAGCTTGCATCTCCTCTTTCGGATCCACGTCCATCATCTCGGGCTTGCTGCCGCTCTCCAGGACCACGGGCTTGGCCGCCTCGGCCGTCTTGTCCGCGAAATCGACATGGCCAGTGCGCTTGGTGTGGAGATCCACCTCCGTCTGCGATCGGCAGGGCTTGCCGCAGGCTGTGCATACCAGATTGAGGACCGCTTGCGTCGATTCCACGAAATTCGCGTGGCCTGAGATCTCCGCGTGCTCCTGCGCCTCTTCCACGGTCCGCAGAGCCGCGCCGCAATCTCCACACTGAAGAGAAAGTCCTGCCATAGCTCTAGCCTCTTCCTTCTCAAACCCTAACCCTAAAACCAAGCCCTTATATATCAAACCCTTATCAAATCAAAATGGTCGTCAATAAAGGATGACTCACACGTATTTTTTCCAGCTGTTAAATCTAGCGACACGTTGGTGCCACGGTTGGGCCCCATAACGGCCCCGGCAATCCGCCACGTGTTCGCTGCGTCATGGACACGTCAGCGCCCGCCCTGACACGTGGCGTGCGGTAAGTAACCCCGGTGAAAAAGCTCCCTGTGGCTCGCTTTGTTTCGTGTTGCGGTTGAGCGGCTTCTTTGCGTTCTTCGCAGCGTCTGGGCGGGGTCGATCGCCAATCGCATCGCCCGTGGGGTAGGCTTTTTGTGGGAATTCCCGATTTTCTTGCGGGATTGTTTCCTTCTTTTCTCGTTGCTGGATTTCTTTCCTAGAGCGGGGAGAGAGAGGAGGGAGAGCTATGCACCCCAAATGCGGTACTTGCCAAAGAGATAGGGCTCCGGGGAAGAAGGGAAAGGGATTGGATGGCAGAGGTTCCAATCCACAGTGGAGGCAGGGATTCTCCGTGAAGTGAATCGAGGAAAAAATCCAAAATTAAGAACTAGAGAGAGGGGTTACTTGCGAGATGATCCTTGTGACAAAGCGCCATGGCAAATCTTTCAAGGAGTCTCTCAAGTCACTCGAGGCGGACATCCAACACGCCAACACATTGTGAGTGTGATCAATGGAAACTCTGCTCGTTCTATAGCATATTGGTGTTCTTGTGTTTTTGAGAGCTTTTCTTCGTGATTCTTACTTTGTGATGAATTCTTTGGCAGGGCATCCGAATTTCCAAGAGGATACGATGGCGCTTGCCTCCAGATGAGGCTCTCTTACAGCCCCGCGGCGCATTTCTTCCTCTTTCTCGTTCGCTGGACGGATTGTAGCCTCGCCGGAGCTTTGGGCCTGATAAGAATTCTCATCTACAAGGTCAGTTTAGTTTTCTCTCTCTAGATCGTCGTAAACTTCGAATCCCTCCCCTCTTTTGTTTTCTGTGGGAAGTTTTTGTCGTTAGAATCCGGCAAATTCTTTCAGGTCAGCAAGCATTCTGTGCTGGAGATCTTCTTTTCCTTCTTGATTTTATCCTGTCTTTAATAGTTTGGCGCGTTTGATCCACACTGACTGGCTGGTTTCTCGTAAATGATCCGCAGGTTTATGTGGATGGCACAACCACCATGTCCACGCACGAACGAAAAGCTAGCCTACGGGAGTTCTACGGTAAGCTTGTAGACGAAGTGAAGAGCCCGTTAAGTGATTTTGGAAAGATTTGTGCCTTGTTCCAGCGTATATTTATCCTTCTTTGCAGCAGTTGCAAGGTGGGATCACGGAAGTGGAGGCGATCAAGCAGCGCGCGGCGTGCCTGGAGAAGTTTAAGAGAAAGGGCGACGAAGAACGGGGGCGGATGAGCGATTTGGACGTGGAGCGGGAGCAAGAGTGTGGGATTTGCCTGGAGGCCAACAGCAAAATCGCGCTGCCGGGATGCAATCACGCAATGTGTATACGATGCTACAGAGAATGGTACGTTTCCAAGAGTTTGGTTTTTAGAGGTGTTCTACTTTGCTCGTTCTCTTTGTTTTTTTTTTTTGTTTGGTTCCAGGCATTCGAGAGCTCAATCTTGTCCGTTTTGCCGTGACAGCTTGAAGCGAGTGAATTCGCGGGACTTGTGGGTTTTCACCGATGTTTCCGACTCGCAGGACATGGAGGAACTGTCGCGGGAGAATTTGCAGCGGCTGTTCATGTACATTGACAAGCTGCCACTGCTCATCACCGACAGCTTATACACGATCTACGACTCCCACATCAAGTGAAAACCCCGAATCCCAAGAGCAAAAGATCATACATCAAAGTGAAACTCCAAAACCAAGAACAAAAGATCATAGGTCCGATCGATCGATCCAGGCATTCTTCAATTCATAGGCACACAATTCAAGTTCCATGCGCTGTAAATTAATATATGAGAAGTTATACAGTGTTTTCTCACCACGAACGAGAACCCTCGCTGGATCCATGGCCATAGCTCCTGGGACAAAACACGATCGTGTACTCGGCCCCGGACGGGCATGCGAAGCCCGAGTCGAGCGAATCAAACGCGTAGCTATAGGCGTCCGGGCAAGAGCGCTTGAAGCATCGCGAGTACGGACTGGGGCGGCACTTCCGTGCGCTGCCGTACTCGCCCGTACAGCAGTACCTGTCCTCCTTGAACGCCAGGCAGGGGCTCTTGCAGGCGATCACGCCCGCGTCGCCGCCGCTCCTCCGGATCGCGAGCTCGGGCGGGCAGCGCGCGAGGAGGTCGGCGGCACTAGCGCTGCACCCTGCGGATTTGCAGCTGCTCGACGAGGGGATGACTCTGACCGGGAGATTGTAGCCGTCGACGAGCGAGACATCGTAGTGGTCGAGCAGCGCGTGGGGATCGCGCAGCGGGGTGAATTCCACTAGCGTTGCGGGAGGAAGGCCCGGCGAGGAGCACCCGAGCTCGCCATTGCGGTCCCCTGTCTCGCAGTCGATCATCGTGTTCATCGTGTGGTTGTTAGCCGTGTTGCATGAATTGATCGCAGCGATGGAGGAGGAGCAGTCCGTTCGACCCCAGAATCGGCCAGACCAGCCCCAGGGGGCGAGCAGATGAATGGACTCGTAAGGCTGGAGCTTGGCGCCCCCGGGGGCGATTTGGGCAACGCCGGCATTGGGGATCCAGGCCGGCCACACTGGGAATTGGCATGCGTTGTAGATATTGATCTTCGTCTCATGTGCCACGGATCCTGCGATGGAATTGATCAGTCATAGGGATAGAAATCCTAGAGACTTGCCTGAAAGAACTGCGAGCACCACAAACATTGATACTAGCTGATCCATATCCGATCGAGGATATGGTAGCGAGGATATGGAGGCGCGAGGAATTTGTATCCAAGCGCTAGTGCGTTGTTGGAGTAGCTTTTCCGCCAAGATCAAATTTTTAAATAGCGAATATGCTGTGAGACTGGAAGGGGAATATGCTTGGAAACCATCTGGGGCGTTCTAGAATCTCCCAAAAGGATTTGCAGATAAAGTCCGCGTGGTAGCTTTAGGGTTCTGTAGAAATCCTTTTTCTTCGGTAATGGCGTTTATGGATGATCTCTTCAGTGATGGTGGCTGGGGCGGCTTTGGCGGTCGATCGAAGGGACCCTTCGATCCATTCTCTTCATTCTACGCGCCAAATTTCGCCCAGAATTTCTCCAAAGGCGGTGGTCCGAAGAAGCAGCAGCAAAGGGATCCAAGGTATGAGGCTCGCAAACCTTCTTCTCCGGCGCCGCGGAAGTCTCCTCCGCGGAAGGAGCCCGTGATCGACGTCCCGATCGAGGAAGCTAGGGTTCCTTCTCCCAAGAGGTCGGCGGCGGCGGCAGCAGCCAAGCCCGAGAAGATTCCCAAGAAGATCTTCACGTTTCAATCCCAAGACGGCGCGGCCCGGAAGATCCAGGCGGTGTTTCGCGGGTTTCTTGTGAGGCGATGGAAGCCCATCAAGCAGCTGCGCAACATCAAGGCGATCGCGAAGGACTTCGCGGTGATCAGGGAGAGTGTGGCCGATGCTGCCAAGTTTAACGCCATCCTGGAGGATCGCAAGGAGAGGATGATGCTCAACGAGCGCGTGACGCTCCTGCTACTGAAGCTGGACGAGATCGACGCTGTCCAGCCCTTCGTCAAGGAAGTGAGGAAGGCCTTGATCGTGGAGCTCCAGCAATTCTCGAAGCCCATGGAGGACAAAGATCGAGAAGAGCACGAGAAGAACAGAAGCAAAGCTCAGGACATCCAGATCGAGGACGCGGAGGATGACCGTGATGGAGAAGAGGCTCAAGACATCGAGATCGAAAACGCGGAGAACGATCAGGACGATGATTTCTTCATCGTCAAGCACGGCGATGCCGAGGACTCGATGGACACCGAGCCGGAGAGCACGATCTCGGAGGAGGAAGATCTTCACAGCCCCGAGAAGATTGATAACCAGGAAGTTCCAGTGTCGAGTGAAGCGGTCGAGCAAGATCAAATCTCCGGGCAAACAAGCATGGACGTGGACGTGGTGAAGAAGCTCATGGAGGACAATGCGCAGCTCAAGGCGATGGTGGCCAAGTGCCTGGAAGGGATCCAGTGGCAAAACGCCACCATCGCCAAGCTTGAGAGGAGAGTCCACGACTTGGAGAGAGCTCTTCTAGACTCTTCTAAGACTGAGAACTCGCAATGTTGGATAAGTTCTCAATGAAATAGATATGAATGGTTTTTGCAATCTTTAACACTTTAGATTCTTACACTAAAACTTTGTAGACGATCTTAAACTTCCAACAGTTCTTCCATAAAGCTCTAATAGAGATCGCAAACTTTGAAAAACTTGAGTGATTCTCAATAAGCTCGAAGGAACCTTCTAGGCTGCTGCTGCGTCGTCCTCCTCGATCTTGGGAGCCAAATAGTACCTTACGTATCCCATATCTCCAATCTTATACTCCACCACGATGGGAAGATCGGCAGACATGCTCAGTGTCACGATGTTGGCCAGTGGCGTTGCCTTGGTGAACGAGTTTAAATAGCGCAGCGCAAACGTGAGCGAGACGGGTTCTTGCATTTTGATTTCCGTGGCGTTCTCGGGCTGGAAAAATAGTGAAAACCACACAAGCTAGAATCAGTGTGTTGTTTCATTGTAGTTTACCTCGTCCACCGATGTGTTTTGGCGGCACACGATGTTGGCGGTGCCAATGTCCCCGGAAGTTGTGAACTTGACGCCGTCCTTGGTGACAGAGATCATCACTGGAACGAATAGATACAAACTTTTGATCATAGAAAACTTTTGAGAGTTCTTTAGTACCTGTGTCGCCAATGCTGCTAAGATCCTTGCAGATGCGCAAGAATTCCTGGGATGGCATCTTGATGCTCGATTGGTACTCTGTGTCTGGAATTCCCAGGTGCTCGCTATCGATCTCCATGAGCTTCATCTCAAAGTCAGAGATTTTATCTTGAGCTGGAAACACAAAGATAGAAAAACTTAGAGCTTGTAGAACAAGAAACGAAGAAACAAGAACTTACAGGGGCTCTCAAACATAAAGGTCACGGTGTCGCTGCCATCGTCGGCCTTGATGGTGATGATATCGTCGTTTCCAGCGCACTTGAGCATCTTGGCCATATTGGTCAGATTCATCCCAATGGAAATCGTGCGATCACAGCGATAGTGCTCGAAACCCTCGGACCGGAGCATCAGCGCCACGAGCGCGACATGGCTGGAATCCATGGCTTGCAGGGAAAATCCAGTGGAAGAGCAATCGAAGTTCGCCTCATTCACGAGATCCTTGATGGCCTCGAGTACCTTCTTGAGAAGACTTCCCTGGACGAGGCGGAGCTCCAACATCGCGGCCGCGGCGCTGCCAAGAGAGAAGAGCCAAGAAATGCGCGAGTGATTAAACCCTAAAGCTCGCACCGCAAAAACCCTAGAGCCCCTTTTCACTTTGAAATTTTGGCGGGAACTTAGAGTAGCTTTGGGATGCCGTAGCTAAGGCTCGGCAGAGCTTCAATCCTTCTTTATCGTCCATTCATTTTAGGGTTTATAGTTTTCCGTGAGTGGATGGCTGGAACATTCATGGCGCACAATGCCGCGCTCGCTGTGGCGTCTCCTTCGAGCTCGCAGAGCTCGTTCTGGGGGCGCAATCAGGATTGCGGTCGGATTTCAACTGCGAAATCATCGACGAGGTATGAGTCTCTGTATACAGTCGGCAAATTTCATGGATTTTCCTCAGCCAGGGGAGAGGATTCAGCTTACAAGTCAATGCATCCTCACGGGTGGACAAATTCTCAAAGAAGGATGTGATTGTCTCACCATCGATCCTTTCTGCGAATTTCTCGAAGCTGGGAGAACAGGTAAAATATGTTTGTTTTTTTCTTCTAAAGTAGAAGTTTTTAAAAGCCTAGCGCTCCAGGTTAAAGCAGTGGAAGCAGCAGGATGTGATTGGATCCATGTAGATGTCATGGATGGAAGGTTTGTTCCAAACATAACAATCGGCCCTCTGGTTGTGGATTCCTTGAGACCTGTCACTGATCTTCCTCTCGACGTGCACTTGGTTCGTGGCTTTTCATTTATGAGTTTGTGGCATGCTTGAAGTTCTTACTTTCTTTTCAGATGATCGTGGAGCCCGAGCAAAGAGTTCCCGATTTCGCGAAAGCGGGTGCTGATATCATCAGTGTCCACTGTGAGAATGCTTCCACTATCCATTTACATCGTACCATCAATCAAGTATGTTGCGGAGTATCCTATGAGTTTTTAATGGTTTCTTCTCGTGTCCAGATTAAAGATCTCGGCTGTAAAGCTGGTGTTGTTTTAAACCCGGCCACGCCATTGGGAGCCATCGAGTACGTGCTTGAAGGTGAGCGTTTTGTCTTGTATTATAGAGCTGCTTGTCGCTGAAAAGAAATCTTTTTCCGATTGCAGTTGTGGACTTGGTGCTGATCATGTCAGTAAATCCCGGTTTTGGAGGACAGAGCTTCATCGAGAGCCAAGTAAAGAAGATCTCTGACTTGAAGAGGTTGTGCGCTGAGAAGGTTTGTAACTTGGATTGTGATCGCCGAGACTTATGAACACTTGCAGGGAGTAAACCCGTGGATCGAGGTTGATGGTGGAGTAACTCCCTCAAATGCTTACAAGGTCTGTTTTTTTTTTTTGTTTTTTAGCTTTTGGATCGATTGGCTTACAATCTGTGAACTTCGCAGGTGATTGAAGCTGGTGCGAATGCCGTTGTAGCAGGATCAGCAGTTTTTGGTGCCAAGAGCTACTCAGAAGGTAGCCAAAACTTTCGAAACATCATCGTACTTTGCTCACGATTTTTTTTTTTTTTTTCTTGCTTGGCAGCGATCAAAGGCATCAAAACAAGCAAAAAGCCGGTGGCAGTTGCCGCTTGAGCTGCCGAGAAAATGGAGAATTTTGTTCCGGTCGTTCTCCATGCATCGATGGCTACCGCGCTACAGGAAATAATAATAATGTGGTGGTGGCTTAAGGTTTGTAGATATATCATAACGTTGTAATCCAAGGTGTATGTAAGGTATCATCAAAATCTCACAAGAACCTCGCAAATGGCTCTATCTTTTAAAAGAACTATAGGCAGAGTCCATGTGGTGGTCCCTATAATTCGTCCATTTCCCTCTTTTTCTTTCTTTTGCTAGCATGGAAAGCATATGCTCCTTTTTGTCCGCGCTGGCCACCACCGTCCACAACCCGCCAGCTGCCACCTGGCCCATTGACAGCGCCAGATTCAATGGCCTTTCTCCCGCGCGCGGGGATTGGAACGAGCGGCCGCGATCGTTTCTTCTGCCTGCATCGAACGGCCGTGGGCGCCATGATTGCAGCCGGTGGTTTGGAATATCCGGTTGCATCCGAGGGCTGGCATTTTGTGGCGGGGACTGTACTCGAACCGGCGATCACGCCGTGTGTGCTGCCCAACGTGGTGAAATTTGTAGAACGTGTCTCGACTGGCTAGGGTTTATTCGGCCGCTCTCTCGTTTTCTTTCCTTGCGTGGACAAGGCGCAAGGCGGCTATCATCGGCGCCTTGGCTGCGGCATCTCGGATCTTGCTGGAATCCGCTCTTTCTTTGCTCTAAGAGGTAGGATCTAGCTCTGGCCGAGATCTAGAATCCAGATCTTTGCATCCATGCTAGGGATTTGGGATTGGGAATTTTTACCCTAGCCTGAGGCCCGCTTTTCTGTGCAGGGAATCATGTCGGAAACCGAGGATGTTCAGCCTCTCGTCTGCGACAATGGATCGGGAATGGTCAAGGTAGAAATCTTGGAAAATAGATTTTTTGGTTTCGCAGTTCTTGATCCATCGGCATTTTTTTCTTGTTTGTTTGTTCGTGTGGATCTAGGCCGGATTCGCTGGAGACGATGCGCCCCGTGCGGTTTTTCCCAGCATCGTGGGTCGCCCGCGACACACTGGTGTGATGGTTGGAATGGGTCAGAAGGACGCTTATGTGGGCGATGAGGCCCAGTCCAAGCGTGGAATTCTGACGCTCAAGTACCCCATCGAGCATGGTATCGTGACCAACTGGGACGACATGGAGAAGATTTGGCACCATACTTTCTACAACGAGCTGCGAGTTGCTCCCGAGGAACACCCGGTGCTCCTCACCGAGGCTCCCCTGAACCCAAAGGCGAATCGCGAGAAGATGACGCAGATAATGTTCGAGACTTTCAACGTTCCAGCAATGTACGTTGCTATTCAGGCGGTGCTATCACTGTACGCGAGCGGCCGGACGACTGGTTAGTGTCGCATGCATTAATACTTCCACTCCGGGTCTGATTTTTCTTTGGATTTTTTCTTTCAGGTATTGTCCTCGACTCTGGGGATGGCGTCACGCACACTGTGCCCATCTACGAAGGATACGCACTCCCGCATGCTATCCTTCGTCTGGATCTCGCTGGACGCGATCTTACCGACGCGCTGATGAAGATCCTGACGGAACGCGGTTACTCTTTCACCACCACCGCCGAGCGTGAGATTGTCCGCGACGTGAAGGAGAAGCTGGCCTACGTTGCGCTCGACTTCGAGCAGGAGCTGGAGACGGCCAAGAGCAGCTCCTCGATCGAGAAGAGCTACGAGCTCCCGGATGGACAGGTGATTACTATCGGCTCCGAGCGCTTCAGATGTCCGGAGGTCTTGTTCCAACCTTCGCTGATTGGTATGGAGGCTGCGGGTATTCACGAAACCACCTACAACTCGATCATGAAGTGCGACGTCGACATTCGTAAGGACCTCTACGGAAACATTGTGCTCAGCGGCGGCTCGACTATGTTCCCTGGAATCGCCGACCGTATGAGCAAGGAGATCACTGCTCTTGCTCCCAGCAGCATGAAGATCAAGGTTGTTGCGCCGCCCGAGAGGAAGTACAGCGTCTGGATCGGAGGTTCTATTTTGGCTTCGCTGAGTACCTTCCAGCAGGTAAGTGAATTTCTTGTTCTTACAGTTATCAATCTTTGCACGCGGTCTTTGACACTGTTTCCTTTGCAGATGTGGATTGCCAAGACCGAGTACGACGAATCCGGCCCATCGATTGTGCACAGGAAGTGCTTCTAAGCGAAGATAAGATGAGATTTTTATGATTGGAATTGAGATCTGGTGAGCCTTGCTTAGGCGAAGTCCACGGACTGTGTTTGAATTTTCAAGTTACATAGCAGGGTTGTAAAAATACTATAAGCAACGTTGGTAGAGAGCTGCTACTGCTGCTGCTGAAGACTCTTGCATTTTCCATCATCCTTAGGATCACAGAAAACTTTTTCTTAGTTGTCTCGCATTTTTCTCTCTTTTCAATGGAAGTTTTTGTTTCTCTTTCACTCTTGTTTTTTCTTTTTTTTTTTTCTCGTTTGTCTTTGGCTGTGTTGTTTTCATGTTTGGACGGTATCTATTGATGTGATCTCTCTGTTGCAGGCCCCGACGGTGACTATTGTGTGCACGATTGGACACCTGCTTCTGGGATTACCGCGAAGACAATCGAGTATGGATCGACCAGAACCGGCGAGGAACTTGTTCTTGTCACCGGAGTTAACTCCGGTATGCTGCCATCGGCTCCTGCTACGAGTGGCTTCCCGTTCAGCAGCATTACTGGGCTTTGCAAGTCTCCGTTTGGAGCTGTCAAGTGGTATTCCATCCTCTCAGCGTTTACTCCAGCTCCGGCTAACTTCTTCGTTCTTGGTTTATTACAGGAGCAGTCCTTCTCACTGTGAGTGAGGCTTAAGTCGACCGAGTACTGCGTTGAGTTGCTGAGATTTATTATCAACACTGTCAATCCTCCCTGCTCGAAAACAAACATCAGAGGTTGGCTTTCTAAGTGTAAGTTTTTGCTGGAGTTTAGTTGGTATACCTGGTTGCTTTTTAGGCAGTGTGCGTACGTTCGTAGGTACGGTGTGTTTTCTGCAGTTGCAGAGAAAACGTTCCGGCCCATTAGCTTCTTCCAAAGCAGTGCCCTGAATGCGACGAAAGGAACGTGTTAGAAAGCGGGAAATACGCGACAGACTTACGAGAAGTAGTCGGGATTCAAATCGTATGATGTGCGATCAACAAGGCCGTAGTTGCCTCCTATCAGGGACTGCCTGCAGTACACTGCGGTATTGTAGTATGCAGACATCCCCAGCTCGTCGAGGTACCTGTAAGCTCGCAAGTATTAGATAGTGTTCTAACGGTTTCCAATATCTTCTTTTCTTACCAGAAGCTGAAGACATATCTGTCGGTAACGTTGTGGTGACCACTGTTGTATGCTCCTCCGGCTTCTCCAACCCAGGCCTCGGTTCCATACGCTTTCATCAGCTTCTCCACTCCCTCAAAGGTCCCTGCTTCTTGACTAAGGTAACTCGGGCTGACTATCTTCTCGATGAGGTGTGTGTCAACTCCTACAGGCGCAAGAAACATGTTTTAATCCCGTTTTAGTGTTTCTGTACTTCTCTTTTTTTTCTCGTCTCTGATGCGTGATGCTCTGATTACCAGGTCCGAGGTTGTAGATGTGATGGGAGCAGGCGTTGACGACGTTGGGCCCTGTGCTTTGGAGAAAGTCATGGAACCAGCCGTAATCCCAGAAACCATCCGGTGCTACCACTTGAGGCTTGATGGTGGATCTCGCATACACTTGATCGACGACTGAACGAAGCTCTTTGATGTCGGCCGCGTACTGCTTGGCACTAATGCTGGTTCCGACCCCGCTTCCACTTAGCTCGTTTCCTGAAGCTCCGAGGAGTCAGCATGCTTCGCACAGAGAAAGCAGCAGATGCTATCACTTACCGAGTTCCCAAGCTACGATTGGAAAGCCATGGTCCAGAGAGAATTTCATCAAGTCCCTGGCATTGGAGGACTTCCATGATCCTTTGAAACCGTTGTCTTCGAACTTGGTCCTTCCGTAGAGGGCATTCAGACCGAAAGCCACCAGAGCCCTGTGAAGACGAGATGAGGATTTCCGCAGATCTCAGTCACAGGTAACTTCGCTTTCACTTTTTCTGCAATCACAACTCACCCTGTCTTTTCGAAAAAGGAATTTAGCTCCGTCCATCGGGACATGTTGAGACATCCGCCTGTGAATCCAAACATGGCTGAAGGCTGCTTTTGAAGCGGTAAGCATGGCCCCGGCCTGACACCAACCTCGTAAATAATCTGGTCTTGGAGTGATCCTCCCAGTCTCAGCAGTAACGGAGACAATCCTGGAAAAACGAGTGTCAAGCATCGAATTCAGCATCTCCAGTGGAAAAAGCTCACACCTTTGACAGCGTTAACCAGCCTTGGATTCCAGAGATCCTGGACGGAGACAGAAAAAGGCAAGTCGATTTTCAATCTAGCTTTTTTCTGTGCATTGAGCGAGTGCTCTGTTTTCTGTGCTTACCAGATTGAGAAGCGAGGCTCGCCCCCAGCTGCAGTATCCATAGTCGCACTTCTCGGGTGGCCACCAGTCGAGCGTCGCACAGATGAAGTTCTCACTGATTCGAGCCACTGGAGAGGTGGTGTTGATCTGGAGAACAACTCGTTGCATCTCGAGCGAATGCACTCCCTGGTAAGCGACATTTGCGAGAATGAAAAGAGCTGCAAGAGCCGGGTGTTGCATGACTGATACTTTTGATTTCTGCAGCACTATAGGTGATGCAACTGGAGAGGACGAAGAGGGACAGAGGAGGTTGAATTCATCGCTCGAAGAAGAGAGAAAACATCGATATTGGCCCCTTTCGAGTGGCTCCTTGGAAAAATGGATACTATATGGCGGATTTTCATGTGACAAGCAAATGCAGGCAAACAAGTGAGTGACTCGGAACAGCCGTCACCAAAACCCCTTGTCTACTTTCTTTTTTATTTTCCCCTTGCTCAAAACCTTACGTTTTCTTTTTTTTTTTCTTTTTCTCATCTTTTCCTCTTGCAGTGAAGATGAAGAGCCTGATGGCATGACCCACCTTTCTCATGTACATGACTATACAACGAAGTGTTGTAAGTGTGGCAGCCTTCCTTTTCTCCCGTTCTAGCTAATTTTCCCGCTTCCAGAAAGAGAATTTTTTGAGAAGCAGAGGTACCTTTGGTTTCGTTGTCAAGATAAGTCTTTCCTTCGTCATTTCTCCTTGTTTTCCTTCAAAGTAACTCCCATTCTTCCTGTAGGCGTTGCTGGCGAGCAATCGTCATCGCCATCTACAGTCTTGGCCTTTGCGTCAGGATCGGCTTGGACGATTACTTCCTTGGCCCGCGGACCAGCTCAATCAGTTGGCGCACCTCATGACTTCCAAGCGACTTGTCGGATTGCTGCTGCGGAACTGATTCCTTCCTTCGCAAGAGTTAGCGCGCACGACTTTTAAAGCATAAGAAAGGAATCGCAGGTACCTTCGATATCTATATTGCTTGGTGCGAAACTTTGACCCTTGGAAAGCTTTCAACCTTTCGTTTTCTTAGGAGGAAACGCAAAAGCAAGAGAGAGCTCTCTTTTGGGCGATTTAAGTTAAGCGGTTCTTTTGGAAGCAATTGCCAGCTTGCAAAATTCTGGTAAGTTTTCTATCATCTTCGCCGCTACTTGTTCCAATGCGCAGCTTTTATTCCCGTGGAAAAGCCTTTGTCCGCGGTTGGGCATGTTTCTATATTCCAGTGGAAGAGGCTTTGTTTGCAGTTGCGACCGCTGGCTCCTTGTCAATTCTTTGTTTGGTGGTCCGCAGCAATCCAGAGGATGAGATCCATTCATCTATTAACAAAAACTTTTCACTTGACCGAGGATCGAACCCGGGTCCTCCGCGGAGATACTCCGCCAAAACAGGAGCAATTTTCCACTACACCGAGGATCGAACCCGGGTCCTCCGCGTGACAGGCGGAGATACTCACCACTAGACTCCACCGACATTGGTGCCAAAGCATGATTAATGAATATATTTTTCGCGACTACGAGCTTTTGAAAAGCGAGTGAATGCCCTAGAACAGGGAGTCGAGCGGCGATGGACAAGGGCAAGGCGCTGGTGTGCGTGACCGGCGCGTCGGGATTCATCGCATCGTTCTTGGTGAAGCTGCTGCTGGATCGCGGCTACAAGGTGCGCGGCACCGTGCGGAGCTTGAGTAAGAGCGAAATCTAGCCAGAGATAGGATAGGAGTGAGATTTTGATCGATTGTTTCCAGCCGATCCGAGCAGAACATCGCATTTGCGAGGCCTGCCTGGCGCGGAGGAGAGATTGGAGCTCGTCGAGGCCGATCTTCTCAAGGACGGCGCATTCAATGACGTGGTAAAAGACTGCCAGGGTGTTTTCCACACAGCCTCTCCTTTCTTCTTGGCAGGCGTGACTGACCCGGAAGTAAGTTTTGAGAAAGTTTTCAAAGAATTCTGGCTCCTTCTCACTCCTTTTGTGTGTTGTATAATGATCGCAGCGTCAGCTCATCCAGCCAGCAGTACAAGGAACTCTCAATGTTCTCGAGGCGTGTTCTCGGAGCCCCTCGGTCGCCAAAGTGGTTGTCACGTCGTCCACTGCGGCAGTGGCGTATAATCCCAAGAGAACGCCCGACACGGTCGTCGATGAGTCTTGCTTTAGCGACCCCGACTATTGCAGAGAAATGAAGGTAAGAAAGGCCTCTCCTGGACAATTCTCCATTTGCTTTCCTTCTGCAGGCCTGGTACATTCTTTCGAAGACACTAGCTGAGCAAGAAGCGTGGAAGTTTGCCAAAGAGAAAGGACTTAACCTGGTGACTATAAATCCTGCCATGGTAATTGGACCGCTCCTGCAGCCTACTTTGAACACCAGCTGCGAGATTATCCTTAAACTCATCAATGGTAAAAGTGTTTTTTCTAGTGTTTGTGGTTTCAAGATCATGACTTCGATCAGGTAGCAAAACACACTACTCAAATGCTTGTTTGGGATGGGTGGGAGTTGGAGATGTTGCTGAGGCTCACTTGCTAGCTTACGAGAATCCAAATGCTTCCGGGAGGTACTTGTGCGTGGAGAGGGTTGCTCACTACGAAGACGTGGTCGAAACGCTGCGCAAGCTCTATCCAGAGTATCCAATCCCAACAGAGTAAGTTATAAGTCGCAGATTGATCCAGATGATCACGCTTTGATCTTGTGAGCAGATGTGAAGACAATGGATCTCCCAAGGCCACTCCATATGCCATCTCCACCAGGAAACTGCAAGAGGAGCTAGGCCTTCGCTTCCACAGCCTGGAACACAACCTTAAAGAGTGCGTGGAAAGCTTGAAGCTCAACCATTTTACTCCGGCTTGAGGTTTATAGTTCGACGTATTATTTTTTCAAAGCAAAAGAACAACAACGCTCTTATGGTTTTAAAAACTTTACGCAAAAACAATAGCACGTAGTTGTCCCACAAGCATGCTGGGGCACCACAAACCACCGCTCTTTTATATTTTCCGTGCTTGAAAGGAGGAGAACGCAAACAAGGGATGATCTCCACAAAGGCATTTACTTTACCACACAAAATAAAGGGATAATCTGTAAATAATTTGCTGCGCTATTATTGTTTATGTTTAATATGATCCATGAAGAGAAGGTGTTTAAAATGCATCTTAGCAGGAGCTAAGGTCGTGCTCCAAAGTTACTAATCTAATATGATGCTCCAGATGAGATGTTTGAGCTCACGCCCCAAAACTGAATGTTTTACTCTTTGGAACTGTATGGAGGGAGTAGGACTCGAGCAAGCATCCAGTTGCACTCTTTGAGGCTAGTTATCTCTTAAACTTTTTCTGTTCTTAACAAGGCATGTGAGAAGTTGCATAACGTGATGCTAATGGGATCCTGGGAAATATCAGCTCTGGCCTTGACGCTCTCTTCACCAGAATCACATGACTATCATGATTTGGACGCTGCATGTCCATTGTCATTCTATTGAGGTGGATCTCGTTTCTTCCTGCTAATCATGTTGCAGTACTTTGTGTCTGGGGTGTCTCCATGCGCAAGGATCTCTCTGTTCATCTCCACGTGTCTACACCTCCCAATGTGATGGTTTTCAAGGATTTACTTAGCTTGTGATTCACTGCAAGAACTGATAACAGTTGATATACACGTGCTTGTGGGGTGTTGGTTTTCACATTTCTATCATGCTCTAGAAGCTACAACCATGTTTGATTCTTTCTCTTTTGTTTGAGTTTTCTTCACCTAGCTAGAGCGGAGAACCAATCTAAGTAAGAAAATTAGTATTAAACCTTGATTATTCTTTAAGTTTAAATGTTTTCAGATAAATGTTGATAATCAGCAATGGTAAAGTTTTTCAAGTTCACGCAAAGTTATTCCTTGGATGGGGTCCAGCCCGAGCAGATTAGTTGGAATCAAAAGCTTTATGATTTCCTTTAGTAGGCTTTTGACACAAGTTCGTGCGCTGAAAAAAAGCACAAGAAAGAGCAGGCTTGCTTTGATGTGAGGAAAAAAGTAATCTATATTTATTCATTTTTAAAATCAGTTGTACCCAGTTCTTACTAATTTGAAATTTAAAAGTATAGAAACATAACATTCTTGGGACTTCTTCCAGCTAGCTTCACTTGTCCTAGATTTTGATATATTCTATTTAACTACAAAGATTTTAAAATAATAAAAAAGATGACTTGCATTATAAACAGTACAAAGATGGGCATGGGAGTATCATGATGCTTTATTAACCACACAAATTGCTTTGAAGGCCAGAAGATGGTATACCACCCTTCTGCTCCACCCTGCTTTGTGTTCCATCTATCCATGATTGTTAGTAACGCTCAAAACCTATTTTTGGTTTGCTTAAGCAAACTTATACCTAGAATATATTTAGATATTCTAGAATATTCTACCATCTAACGATTGTTATTCATTTAGTAAACATTAAATTAATTCAAGCTTAGATTAATATTGTATTTATAATTTACAAACTTCCTTAAACACTTTCTAGTATATTCTTGTTTATTCTACCATCTAATTATTATAAGTATATTTGTAATTTATAAACACAAGATTAATCTTATTGCATATCAACCATTAGATGATAGATTAAAAAGAATATACTAGAAAGGGTTTAAGAAAGTTTATAAATTATAAATACAAGATTAATCTAAATGAATAACAACTGTTAGATGGTAGAATATCCTAAAATATCCAAGTATATTTTAAATATATCCACTCCTACAAATTTGCTTAAGCAAACCAAAAATAATATTCTTAAAATATAACAGCTATAAAAGGATAATAAAACAATTTAGACCCTAAACCCTAAAGCTACACATTACACGTAGCAACACTTGGTTTGCTTAATAGTAATGTTGTTCCTACTTATTAATTCAATTGATCAAATAAAATCTATAATTATAAGCATGTTTATAATTTATAAACACAAGATTAATTTTATTGCATATCTACCATTAGATGGTAGAATAAAAAAGAATATACTAGAAAGGGTTTAAGAAAGTTTATAAATTATAAATACAAGATTAATCTAAATGAACAACAACTGTTAGATGGTAAAATATCCTAGAATATTTAAGCATATTTTAGGTATATTCACTACCATCCCTATAGGTTTACTTAAGCAAACCAATAACAAAAATATAATTAATTTACCACATGCAAATATAATTATTATGTTATCATATTTGGTATGATAAAAAGGAGCGTGGAGGGAAGCAAGAAATTCAATTGCATTGCATTCATAAAGTTTTATGTTTCTTGGGCACTGCAAGACTATAATCAGCAAATCTGCTGTTTCGTTAAGATTCTAATGAGGTGCGCAAGCTATCCAACGTAGCTCAAAATTTTGGTGGGCTACAAATTTGAATAAGTTGGCCTAGATTTTTGGCTCGATTTTGCGACCAACAACGATGAGTTAGGCAATCAGACTTAGCTTGACTAAATATCCAAGCAAGAGTTTACATTCGCCATGGTGCGTCTGGGATCATCATCAATGACTGGCAATGGTAGCAACAACACTACGATCAATAGGAAAATATGGATGCTACTTTTGGCAGCGTGGCTCATTTTTCTTGTGATCTCCCAGCTCGAGTTCGTCCGCTTTGGCAACAAATCGAGCCCCCGTCTAATGATCAATCTACACGAGGGTGACGGCTTCTTTCTCGTCGCGGTGATTGTTAACAGGGTATTCGCAGCGGATCTCTTCAACATCACGGCCTTCGAGTGCCGGCAGTGGATCGAATTCATGGGCAGCGCAGGTGTGGGGCACATCTACTGGTATGATACCGCCCACGGTCAATCCGAGTCACAGGAGGAAAATCTCCGGCCTTATGTGGAATCCGGTGCTCTCACGTACCACCGCTTCTACTCGCTCTTCCCGATGCTAGAGAGCTCGGATTGCCATTACGAGCAGGAGAATTCCTACGCTCATTTCCTTGCGAACTACAATCAATCGAGTGTTTGGGCGCTTGAGATGGATGTGGACGAGTACCCATTCTCGCCCATGGACACATTTCCGGCCTTTCTGGCCAGATTCGTGCAAAGAAGAGCGGAGACGAGTGAAGTGTCCCAGATCTTGCTCCAGTGTATGTTCTTCCTGGGGAATCCAGCGGGAGATCCCGGGAATTGGATGATCGAGCGGTACCAGAGAAGAAAACGTGAGACCGAGGGTAGGATTGCGGGTTCTCGCAGCCGACAGAAGCCAATCTTTCGGCCATCGCTGGTGGAGAGCGCGACGAGCATCGACGCACACATGTTTTCGATGGGGACTGGGGCGACGATTGTGGCGGAGGAGGAGGAGATGAGGATGAATCACTACTGGGGGCCTCGGGTGACCAATTTTGGGCCCGATACTCCAGAGCTTGTAGAGATGCTTGTGGAGGACAGTAGCATTCAGCCCACTGCGAGCTATCTAAAGAGAACGAGGAACATAGGAACACAATCGTAATAATCGAGTCAAAGGGAAAAGCTTGCGGACTTTATTGGTGGAGGAATCCAGTCTACGTGCCGTTTGCCACGACCATTCTATATTTCCAGCCATCTACTCCTCCATTCCCGCCAGGTACTCCATAACACCATCCTTGCCACAGAGACCATTTATATCTCTCTCTTCTTTTGTGTGAACTCCTGCTTGTCACCTTTGCAATTGCATTGTTGATTTCCAGGTTTAGATTGTAAGCCACAACAAGGCCGGATGATGTTGAGGTAGTTCCTAGTGGCCCGTTCTTTCCTGAAGGAGAACAAGTCGTTGACAATCATAACGTGGTGGATTCCAATCTCTGAAGCAGAAGCATCTCCTGCCAGCTTCAAGCCCTGCATGAAATCGATAAACGGTTCAGCCATTTCTCTCAGCCAGATGTAAGTGTTCATGCTGAGGATGAGAATCCAGCTTAGCTCCATGTCGAGCCAGCTTATAGGCCAAAACCATGTATGAGGGCGGGATGTGAGGATATCGTCAAAGCGATATATTAGAAGTGCGCAAGCTGGAAAGCTCGGGAAGACATAGCTCTTGAGAACTTGCTCTGGCAGAAACTTCAAGAAACAGTTGTCGACTTGGGCAATGAGATTTGCATTGTAGGCCAGATTGGGTTACTGGCGGGATGAAGAAGCTATTCTCTTTGTCCGCCTTATCACCTTGGCGTGTTGCAAACTACCAAAAATTTATAGTGATAGATACTGATAAGTATGACTTACATGGTAATTTATGATCCTTTTCTTATAAGAATTCTACTGATTCTTAAGGACTTTTAGCAATATGATAAACAAGAAGGGATTTTATTTGTTTTTAATGATGAGGTGGGATATTTCAGCAGCTTAGAAAGTATGTTCATGTCAGAGATGTTGCATGATTCTGTAACTCAACACTTAGTCTAGGGAGTGGAATTGAATGGTGCCACCAGAAGGTTGGAAAATAACTACGAAGGTTCTTTGGTCTTTTCTTGTAAGTAGAATCTGTGAATCATGAGACAGTAGAAGTGTGTTGAAAACTTTCTCTTGAAGGCAGCATTCGAGGATGATTGTCATGAGATCCTAGGAAAAGAAAAAGTCCGCGACTAAATGGAAAAAACATGACCACTAATGACTAAAGTCCTCATTTCTTTATATTACGTCTCTGGGATCAGTTTGGCTGGCCAGCATGGAAGACTTCCACACCTGATTCACGTAAGTTGTGTGTTTTCTATGTTCAATCTGACTGGAGGAACGTCACAGGTGGATGTTTATCACGCCATGACTTTACAATGAACACTTTCGATGTCTCCTCAGTAGACGAGATTGAGCATAAAGAGGGAGATAATCAGGATTGGAGAGATTTATGAGAAGCTCAGTTTCAATGAGACGGCGGAGTTGAGAAGCACAAGCCAGTGAGGAGGTTAATAATGGGGAATAACTTCTTTAGAAAGAAGAAACTAAGAGGACGTCTTGCTATGATCATAGACTGTGCTGCGACATTTTGGAGACGGTTCTCAGCTATGTGGACCTGGCTACATTGGGCATGATTGATTGTGTTTCACCTGGTGGTGGGGAAGCCAGTGACCCAAGAGTGGAGCGAACTACCACCGCTCCATAGAATGGCTTCAAAGTCGCTTTCTCTGTCCTGCCACCGCTGTCGACTTCTCAGGCCGCTGGTGCTGCATCTACGACTCGGCAACGCGCTCGTGGTCTTCTCTCTCCAAGGGCGCCACGTCCACGCTGTAATCTGAAAGCCGCTGCGCCTTCACGTTGACGTAGGCAGGATTATAACGGGCCTGGAAGACAACGTTGACCCAGATGAAGAGATCCTGCGCTGCGTTTTGCCGCTCCCGGGGCTGTGCACCGCGAGGCCGTGGGAGTACAATGGCCAGCGATACTTTGCAAGTGGCTGGGTGTATGCGGGAGGCAACCGCGAGGCAGGGGAGTCCGGAGTTGATGGCTATGGCGTGTGGAAGGGTGACGACAAGGGTGGCTTGGTTGCGGTCTCTGCAAAGACCCATAAAGCGATGCTTGATCAAGTGTACGCTGGGCAGCGCTCTGTCGGAATGATTTTCCCTTGTTCTGTTCATGCAGAGGCCAATCTGGGGATCATGTTTGTTTACGACTTGAGCACAGGGGATTGGGGGGGCACGTAGATGAATATGCAAAAGCAGTGATTTTTCGCCCGTCCCTCAGGACACTCAACTCAACGAGAAAGGAGGATGAACGCCACACAAACAGGTATGATGAGTTTGAGCTAGGCTTGTTAGGAGCATTGGCGAAGTCTGTCTAATCATTCAAGAATTATAATGCATTGAGATTCTACGTCTATAAGATTGTCCCTCTCAGAAGATTGCTGCTCAGGCAATCTGACAAACATAGACAGCCAATAGATATTCAAGCTACGTTGCACCACTAAAATTGGGAAATATTTTGTTCAGTCTAGGATTAGGGTTTAGCAAAAATGCGGGAGGAAGAAATGTGGATCCAGGTCGGATTCGAGACTTCCGCGCCGAAGGTCTCACACTGCTGGGAGCAGCCCCGCGAGTTTTGCGCCATCCGTGGGGCGATCAAACACGCGCCGCGGCCGTCGTCTCCTTGTTCCAGTGTAAGCTCCTTGTATCCTTTAGTATCTAGTATAATTTGCGAAGAAAATGTGATTCTAGGAGGCAAAGCTCGTCAAGGACTCTTTACATGCTCTCCAGGGACTTCCCTCCGCGATCACAGCCTTGCGCTCCCTCGCCGCAGCCTTTGCCTTGCAAGCTGCCGATAAGACTGCTCACAACATTGCTACTCTCTGGCGGCTCTCGTCCAGCGCCAGCGCTTTGGCCAAACTACTCTCGTGTTTCGCTCGAGCGGGGTGGCACAGGTACCAGCTCGATCGGTTTGTAGACTTCTTCCTCGGCTTCCACAGGAGGAAAGCTGGCGGCGCTTGTCCGCTCTTGAATCAGGCTTTTGCTTCTGCTGTGAGGACCATCTTGCACGCACACTCGGCCGCCTTGAATCTTCGGTTTGATCGCAGCAGTGCTCAGAGCCTTGTGGAGCTCTATCTCCACACCGAGGAGCTGAGGGTGCAGCTACAGGCTCTCACGAGGATTTGTTCCATAGGTGGCGATGGCGAGGACGAGAAAGCAGCGTTTTCCACCACCGGCAATGATATGCTGGAGAAGTTCAAGGCTTTCCCGAAGGGAGCTGACTTGCTCACTCTTCTCTACAACTTGTTGCTCGTAAGGTTCACTTTTTTCTTGCTTTGCTATTTCTCTTTCATCTTTCCAGGAACCTGATCCGGTGCATCTAGAAGTGCTCCGCTTCTTGTTTGCTCGGACATATGAGCCATATGCGCTTTTCGTGAGATCGTGCATATACTGCGCTGATCTAAAGGACCCGCATGGAGAGTTTATTCTGGAGCAAGCGTCAAGGCCTCGGCGATCGCAGCCAGTGGAGAACTCCATGAAAAGTAGCCTGAAGGTCAGGATTTCTTTTCATCACGTCCCAAGCTTGTTTGTGATTTTTCCATCCTCTAGATCCGGACAGGCGTCAATACTCCTGTTTTTCTGGTGGACGTATCTTCTCAAATGCTGCGTACAGCACAACAGTTGGAAGTCCTGCTAAAGCTTCCAGAGACGCGTGAGTTTGCCCAGGCCTTGAGCTCTGCGTTTCAAGGCTCCATGCCAAGTCACGAGACAGACATGGAAGGGCAGGTTTCTTGTTTTTTATCTGTGGCCTTTGACAAGAAAGGCCTCAGGCAAGTTTTCAAGCAGAGGCAGCATCGAGCGGAGACGATTGCAGAGCACTACCGTAAATTTTTTGGTGACAAGTATCCCACAAAATTGGTAAGGCGTTCTATAGTTTTATCTTTATTCCAATTATTTTTTCTATATAGGAGGAAGAATCAGCAACAGCTTCAGAGGACTCGGAATCAGAGCCAGAAATAACGTGAGTCTTTGTAGTAAACTGTGCATTGAAAAGTTTTATCTTAAACAGAACTACTGATGAAACGGCCACTTCTGCTGAAGTGGACTCTCTGCGACTTGGCGAGGACAGCAATGACAATCACGACAGTGATACCGGTGCTAGCTCTGAGCAGGAAACTGTCAGTTGTGACGAGAGCTTCTTACAACCACACACGCAGGACAGTCTTTTCGCAAGCGAAGTTCCTCCTGAATCGGGTTCCTCGGCCGATCGTGCATTAAGCATCTCATCTTTACTTACGACACCAAATGCTGGACTGCCAAGAAATCCATTTTATGCTTGTGGCGAAGGGAATATCAACGAGTACATTTCCACGATCTTCACGAATACTGCTGATGGCTGGGATATAAGATCAACCCTCGTTAACGAGAACAGCCTTGCGAAGAAGCTCATTCCGGAGCTATCACAAGTGGGACTTCTATCCTTGACCAAGGCCACGAAGATTGACATCGATGTCGCAAGCATTCTACTTAAAGATGACAACTTACCAGCTATAAGAAGAGCTCCAGAAAGTGTGGAAGAGAGAGTCAAGCTACAGCCTGCGGAAACTAGCTCCCCTGATGAAGTAAGAAGCGAAAAGTCCTCAAGTCCTCAAGGAGGTGGTTCGTGGGTCTCAGCACTCAAAATGACTACACAACACAAAACCACGCTTCCTGGATGCCGTCAAGAAAGAGCTGGCTCGGACATTCCTATCAGCGTGGCCGTGGAGAAGAGCATTACGGACGAGATCCTTATGCAGTATCCTTTTCCTCAGTTTCGTTTCTTCTTTTTCTCAGATCTCACACTTAACAGGATGTAGATACCGACTGGTGAGTGTTTTCACAGTAAGACTATTGCAGGACCACCTTCACCTTCAAGACCATTACCTGGCGCTGAGACGCTATTATTTCATGGAAGTTGGAGACTGGGCTGATAATTTCATCACTGCGCTTTGCTCCCATGTACGTTACACATTTTATTTGCTTACCTTTTACATTTGCAGCTTTTCGTTTTGAGCAGAAGTGGGGCCTCTCACGACGACAACATCACATTGTCGAAGTTCAAGGAATGCTGGAAACAGCTCTACAAAAATCCTCGTGTGATGGAGATAGTTATGCCGAAAGGCTGCATATTTGCAGCATATCCGAGGGCCAAGACGATGCCTTTGTCAACCACAACAGTAAGATTCAAACTTTTTCTTTTAGCAGTTGCAGCTTGCATGCACAGGTTTGGAGGCTTACGATTTTATTGAGCTTGGCTACCATGTGGATTGGCCACTTAATCTTATTCTCACAGCAGACGCTTTGTGCTTGTACAATCTGATCTTCAGATTGTTGCTTCGTGTAAGGCACGCGGTTTTCGCCCTCGGAGAAATCAGCAGCTCGCTACAAGTAAGTGCGCATGTTTTCGTTCTTGTAGTATGGCCGACGTTTCATTTGTCTTTTTTAATTTCAGGCAGTGGAACGCTCTATGCGTCGCCTGAGGTCTTCGGAGCAGCAGACGGATAAACTCCGAGCTCTTCAACTTTTTAGGTGCTTTCTAACAACTTTCATCGCTAATTCTTTGAGGCTTTGTTTTTCTTTTTCCAGGCACCAAATTGGGCATTTTGTCACAGCCTTTCAGTGTCACGTACATTCGCAGCTTCTACATGTTGTTTGGGGCGAGTTTCTTCATGCTATCAAACACGAGGTAAATAGAATAAACGTACTGCAAGTTTCTTCACCTAATGCCGACTTTTTAAGCAGATCAAAGACATGCAGGACTTGGAGGTAGTCCACCACAAGTACTTAACCAACGCAGTCCATCAGTAAGCACCGAAGCAAAACGAGACTTTTTTTTAATGTCGTCTGCTGTCCTGCGTGTAGATGTTTCCTTTCTTTGGAGCACACAGGAGTGAAGTTATGCACGGACAACATAATGCAGTGCTTGCTCGACTTTCGCTCGTCTCTCAAGAACATTAGGAGCTGGGAGGATGACAAAGTTTGCATCGACAAATTGTATTCAAGGGTAGGGAGTTTCTTTTCATCCTTCTCGAGCGGTATCCTCACTCATATTACCAGGTTCTAGAGCTGAGATCTTCGTTTCATGAGACCGTCTGCCGCTTACACAAATACTACTTGAAATCCGAGGCCCAGCACCAGCTCTCAGACTTTTGGATGGCTTTAGATTACAATGGCTATTTGGCATCGACGTGCTGAGGAGCAAATCAGTTGAAAACATGCTCGACAATTTCGACCATTTAACACATGTGTCAGCAAATCCTCCATATGTACTGGATTTTGATTTTATTGATGGCTTTATGGAACTTATTTTTGTTTTTACCTTCAAACAGGCACGAAATCATCCGTTTTCAAGGACAAAGTTGGCGGACTTTATTGGTGAAGGAATCCAGCCTAGGCCATTGTACCGTGTTGCTTGGCACGACCATTCTATTATTTCCAGCCATCCACTCCTCCGTTCCCGCCAGGTACTCCATAACACCATCCTTTTTTGTGCGAACTCCTGCTTGCCACCTTTGTGATTGCATCGTTGATTCCCAAGTTTAGATTGTAAGCCACGGCGGGGACGATGTTGTGCTTGCCACCTTTGTGATTGCATCGTTGATTCCCAAGTTTAGATTGTAAGCCACGGCGGGGACGATGTTGAGGTAGTTCCCGGTGGCCCATTCTTTTCTGAAGGAGAAAAGTCGTTGACAATCATAACGTGGTGGATCCCAATCTCTTCTGCCTTTTGAAGGAGAGGGTGATGCTCCAACTTCAAGCCCTGCACGGAATCAAGAAAGAACTCCAGAAGAGACTCATGGTCAGATCATGATAAACTCCAGAAGAGACGCTGGGGATGGATCCAGCTTAGCTCCACCTCGAACATGTCCAGTGCCTTGATCATGGATCCGCAGAACCTTGCTTCGGTCATGAAGATCTTGAGCTCGTCCAAGACATCCCAAAATACCCGGACCTGGCGAGAAAGATCCGGGTTGTCCAGCACCACCGCCTTTGCTTGCTCGTACTTCCCTTCATCGACCAGATTGTAGGCCAGATGTGAGGATCGTCCATTCCATTGTCCGCAACGAAGAACCAAGCGTGTATTTCGTGATGGGAAGCAGCAGAGTGAGAAACTCCAAGCACCAGCCATCAACCTGGGCGATGAGATTTGCATTGTAGGCTGGATTGATCCTGGCGGGAGAAAGCGAGCAGGATGAAGCTTTTTTCTTTAACAAAAACACTCTGAGCTATATAGGTGCCATGGCTGGGACCAAGAGAAGTGTGTGTTAGTTTTATAATGCCTCCTTCCAAGTACACACTGTTGTCATAACACTGTCACAAAGAAGCATCAAAGAGGTGTTTCAATCGCATACAACTTAACATTACTTTTTCGTGTTATGACATGGTTTTTATAAAACTTTCGGAAGAGACTATAGGCGGACTCTCTGAAAAACTCGCGTCCAAGTATGAGTTATTTTCGTATTTCTCTAGAAATTAGAGAGTACAGGCGGGGACGAAGGCATCTGGGAGCGTGATGAAAGCAATCGAGAGCGGTGCTACTTTGCTCGGGTTGGATCCCTCCACCGCAATGGCCTTCAGTTCGCTCTTAGCGCCCTCCAAAACTTGCCCATTGAGAGCCACTCTTTGGCTCTGGACGTTTCCATCCGGCGAGCTCAAGTGGTACTCCAGCTTTTGCGACTTGAGCCCCAGATCGAGCACCACCTGTGTGTTGTTGCTGAAGTTGATCACCAGGACAGCGATTCCTCCCTGTTCCACATTCGAATAAGCGAAAGGAGTGAGCCAAACCAAGGAGCTCACCCGGGCGTTTTTCAAACAGTGTGCGTATGTGTGGAAGCTGGACGAGTTGAGACTTTGTGATGTCACATTTAACACGACTTCGCCCATAAGCCTCTTCCAGAGAAGCGCCCTGGAACGAAGAAAGGGAAGTAAAGCGTCCTGAACCGATTTTGAGAAAAACTTACGAGTAAAAGTCTGGATTTGGATTGAAGTTTGAATCGAGGAGGCCGTAGTTACCTCCTATAAGACTTTGGCGACAGAATACTGCCGTGTTGTGAAGCGCAGCCATCCCAAGCTGGTCCAAGTACCTAGAATTGAAAAAGAAATAGCCAGGAAAGAAGAAGCATAAAAAAAACTTATCATACCAAAAACTAAAGACAAATGCGTCACTGACGAGGTGCTGACCACCGTTATAAATCCCTCCTGCTTCTCCCACCCAAGCCTTCGCTCCATTTCCATACTGGCGGAGAACGCGCTGGACTTGCTGATATCTATCGGTGTGAGCCGCGCTGAGTATCCGAGCAGCAATGTTTTTGCCATCACCTGTGCCAATTGGATAGTACCAGACCGTGAAGAGATATATATAATTCACCTGGTCCAAGATCGTAGACGTGAAAACTGACAGCTCTCAATGCTGGATCTGTTCTGGTTTGCTGTAAAACTTGGCTGTACCAGTAAGCATAAAAAAAGCCATCCGGTGCTACGAGAACTGGCTTTTGCCCGGTTCCATAGATTTCGTCAATTATCTGCTGGAGTTCGTCCACATCTGCTGCATAGTTCCTCGAATCCAATGTAACTCCGCTAAAACTACTACTTAGCTCATTGCCTGCATGGAAAAGGAAAAGAAATCAGTTTAATAGCTTTCAAGGCAGTTGACTTTTACCAAGCCCCCAAGCTTTGATAGGATAGCGTTTGCTGGCAGTGTATGCTATGAAATCTCGCGCATTGCTAGAGTTCCAAGGTCCCTGGAATGTGTTATCGATACGTTCTTTCCCGTGTAAAGCGTTTAGACCAAATGCCACCAGCGATCTGTAGAAGTGAAACTCAAACACTTGAGACTGCTCGAAACAGCATCGGGGGTGTTATTACCCTGTTCTCTGAAAGAATTCATTTAGTTGCTGCCATCGTGACATATTGAGACATCCAGTAGAAAATCCGAACCTGTGGTTCTGAGTGGTGAAAGTCTTGCAAGTCGTCGTCGTGGCAGAGCTTCCAACGTCGTAAAAGATCTGATCCTCCAAAGACCCTCCAAGCCGTATCAATAGTGGAGCCAACGCTGTAATGCAGACTGTCAGGAATTTCCTCTTCACTCCGCCAGGGAAAAACAATTTACCTGTCACAGCCTCAGCAAGCAGACGATTTGTAAGATCCTGAAAAATTGCAATCGGTAAGGCTGTGAATTCTGATGGAAAGCTTACCAGGTTGAGTATAGAAGAATGGAACCAGCTGCAACTTCCATAATTGCACTTCCCCTGCGGCCACCAGTCAATTGTTGCGCAGACAAAATGTTCATCTACAGTAGCCACAGGAATTGATGCATCAAGGGCCAAGGTAGCAGGAAGAGCAATCCACAAAGAATGATCTCGGCGGTGGTGTCGAGGGAGAAGGCTTCCTAGAACTGCCAGAACTATGAGAAGAAGCGTCAGAGTTCCACAAGATGCTAAACAGGTGTTCATGGCTCTCCAAAAGTCTCATCGCCGAAGTTGAGAATTAAAGGAGTAGAACTTCCTGGTCACATACGCAATGCACGGGACAGTCGTCGTTCGGGAGAGAGTAGTCCATTCCAGACGCACTCATTTGCAAGTGGGTCTCGTAGATAAACCCGGAAAGAGCAAATGTAGTCGTCACTGTGAGCAAGAATTGAGTCAAGTTAGCAAGTAGCTCACGCACTTACTGGTCAGCCGCCGGGAAAATCAATGGCTGTCGCTGTCCTGAAAGACTTCGTCGAAGTTCTGAACAGCAAAAAGAAACATTTATTTCCAGATACTTTCGAACCTTTCCGAGCTGTAAGTAATACAACGAGATGTCAATTTGAAAGCGTAGAGGGACCAAATGTGCAAGAACAGAAAACACAGGCAACCTCTTTTAGCAGAAAGAATGAATGCAATGTAAAAATTCTATAAATTATACACTTTGCACAAACAGCTAATGTACACTCCCTCCTTTTCTTGTTCAAGGCGCCAAAACTTTTCCGATGCGTTGCACAGCATCTGGTGGAATTTCTCTGCCTGGCACATTCACTTTGAGAAGATTGGAGACTCTGGAAAAAAAAGAAAGAAAATCCAATAGTTATTTGGAGAATATCGAAAACAAAAAGCTTACTCGGTGAATGAGAATTCCGAGTCGTGCTCGTTCACGAACGCAATAAGAGCCTAAAGAAACACACACATCACATACAGAAATTTCTCATAAGATGTTACCTCAAAAGGCATAGTAAGAAGTTCATAGTAGGTTCGGACTCTGTCAAGCCGTTGTTGCACCATATCAGCATCTGTCGAGCTAAGTGCTGCCAAGGCCTGTGGAGAAAGAGATCACGTAGATGAAACTTAGATTCATCAGAATGATTACTTGCTGGAGTGCGATGCAATTTCTACATATTTGTCGAACTCCGAATACGTTAACTAAACTCATGTCGTTCAGAGCCTGCCACACCGAAATGTTAATCATACAAAGCTGGTCAAGGGATACCTTAACAAACGCTGTCGCGGCAACTCCACATATTCCACCAAAAGCGTAATTTCTTTTGGCGGAAGAAATATAAAAAGTCATTTCCTCATCCCATCTCGTAATCTGAAGGGAAACGTTTTGAGTTTGACATAAATACACAATATCTACCTGAGAAGTAAATGAAACAATGAAATCTTCAGGTTCTTCAGCATCGTGATCGCTAACATAGACTCTCCCGGTCATACTCTGCACAACACTAGATGTAAGGCGGTAATATCATAGCTCACATGATAAACCTGTAGATAATGTATTGCTTGAAGCTGCATTTCAATGCGGAGTGTCCGAAGGCATTCCGAAGAAAGATCTTGGTATTTCGCGATCAGACTATGTAGCCCCGAAGGTAAAATATTGCTGGGCCGCTTAGACGCCATGTCATTCTTCTTTTGTTGCGATCCAAGACTGTAAACGAAGTTCCAGAACGGCAATAAGATAAACGTACTTGAAAGTCACCTACTTTTGGATCGAAGTTGCAAGAGAAGATAAAGATTCGCTGAGAGCAGCCAGAAGAACGAACTTCTGATCACCATGTATGAGCTGGTCCTGAAATAACAAGTTGAGGTATGAACAAAAACTGTAGACTGCAAATATTTACATGTTTGATAGGCCGCAAACTCAAAAGCAAATTGTTCATCTCCATTTCCAGCTCAACGTCCTCTCCATTCGGATAATGATCAGGGCAATTTGCTTCAAGCAACACACTTGCAGGGTCTTGCTGCATGAGTTGTTCAACGTCGGTCCTGCCGATAATGCTGGAGCTCAGGCTACCCAGGACGGCCTAAATCCAAGATAACAAGAGTAAAAAAAAATCAAAGGAAACAAATACGCACTTCAGTGTATGCAGCCCGACATCTTTCAAGAGTCCTCTCCAAAATAGTCTGCACAAGCTCCAGAAACTCGGGCGCATATTTCGGCATTGCATGTGCCCACGCAACAACCTGTATGAACAGGTAGTGAGAATCACGGAGCAGTGCTAGCATACCTCAGAAGCTAGCTGATCTGCCACAGAAGGCCCAAGTAAAGCGATGGAGGACATTTTAGTCACGGATGAACGCGTTTTAAGACGAAATGCGGCAGAGCCTAAGAAATACATCAGTTCTCCATCAGAGAAAAGAGATAAGATATAAAGATAGGCCTACTTGCTAGGGCGTCTGCAGCACGAGTTCTGTAGTCCACGTAGATTCTTGGTAAAAACTGGTCCTTTATAAAGGTCTCCAAAAAATTATGCAAACCCTCCTTGCTACGCAAGACAATGGTTAGAAGGGAGCTAGAAAAAGTAAAAGACTCTCACCCAAGAGAAGCATATTTTTCTGGAAGCAAGGACGTAAATCCATCTGTGAACTGAAAGGAGGAACAGATAAACAAAAGAAAAACTCGTAGCCATACCTCTAACACAGGCCGGTACAGTGATGCAATGAGGTACATGCCCCTGTCACTAAGTACTGTACTAACCCCAAAGCCTTCTTGAGCGTTTGCGGATCCGCGCCTACGAACAGGTCGAGGAACAGCTCCTGATCCCGATCACAGTTATGGAAGTCCAAAAGACAGAGCCTACAACTTACCAGGCAGAGACATGGCGTCCGTAAAACGAAAGGTAAACGACAATCCTTCATCAGGGCCAGCATTGCTAGACCGAGGACATCAGACAAGAATTTTGAAAAGTACGTGAGTACAGCTTACCTTTTATCCGCTGCAGTGACTTTTGACTGTCTTGCAGCCTGACCAGATGAATCGGTCTGCGCAGCATCTGCATTAGCTCGAAGTATGTCGCAAATAAATTGCTGGCATTCACTCTGCGAACAGGAAGTTAGACCGGAAACTAGAAAACAACTCTTGAATGACAACTTACCTGAATGACAGTCACAGCAAAGCCAATGTTGTATCCACTCACAGAATGAGTATCATCATCTCCAGTGTGAGATTCCATAGCCTTTCCAACAATCACATGATTTGCTGCAAGTTTTACAGTTAGCTTGCACAAGGTCCAAAGATGCATGGAGTACAATACCTAGTACACGGGCCAACATGGCCAGGACAGGCTCCACGAGGTTCCTCGCAGCCGTTTGACCGGGTCCAGTTGGCCCAATTGACGTCAAGGCTTCAGATGAAGCCCTCACCTTCTTTGCATGCTTGCTGTCTTGAACTTTCTTCAGGCCTAGAGTTAACACGCCATTTTTGTGAGAAACTGATATTTTGGAGACTCCAACGCGTGGCCTTGAAGCGTCAACTGCGACTGCGTGTGCTTTGATTTCCTCGATTATCAAATCATGTACTGTCTGCCTAAGACGCTGGCTGTAGCAAGCAAGTCAGAAAATAAAAAAGGAAACAAGAATAACGGGGGAAAAAACGATCTTATGTACCTGATGAGTGCACCAGCGGCAGCCGTTTTTCCCAGCAAATTTAAGCATTCTACCATTGTCTGGAGGTATTTCACGTTCAGCGTAGCATCACTTTTGGTTATAGCTTCCTACAAGAGCGCAGCGTGATCAATCAAGGACATACACACACTTCTCATACCACAAACTCGTTAGGGGTCGCATCTCCTAGCCAAACAAGCGTCGCTCGTTTGGGCTTCATACTTTCTTTGCCGACACTTTCGTCCTGGCTCAATTCCTCGTCCTTACTATCGGCAGATATAGAGCTGGACAAGAAAATCAGATGTCTGCTTTGCATTCATACCACGCACCTTTTATCACTTGAGTTTCGCCGATCTTCGACGTGGCCGTTTGCGCTCCCGTCACCACCATTCTCCGACTTCTTGAACGCTCTAGTCCGTCGTGAAAAAGGGTGCGAACTTCCAGCAGGAAGTACCATGGTATCAATATTTAATAGATCATCGTCGGCATTCTTGTCCCTGATAACACTAGTGCTGGAGCAAAAAAAGACAACTTCGATGAGGGGCAACATCTATCCGTACAGACAAACCTGTATTCTCCTTTACCGTAAAGATGGGAATGCAAATCCTCCACGACTTTGAAGAAAAGCACGCCCTTCATGTTTGAAAACTCTGCACGCACGTCTTGCAAAGCACCGACCTGTGCCACCAGGAAAAATACTTCACTTCATATACGTAGAAAACTGAAACGCGTAAAAGAAAAACACACCCCTTGAATTCCCTCCCGCTCGAGCATACTTATTGACTGAATATGTAGCTGGACAGCTGAATAATACCGCTTCTCCGAGATATACTGCTCTATTTTCGCTGGAACCTGAGACGGAAAACACGAGGAATGTTACGAACCAAAAGAAGAGACGAAGAAAATAAAAAAAACTAGCCTTTGAAACATTGTCAATTTGATCCAGTAGAGAGATCACATTTCGGAGTATAACAGAACGGTACCATTGTTGTTGGAGCTGCTTGTGTCGAGCACCCAAGAGTTTCTTGCAATCGGCAAGCTGTAGCTTGAGGCCACTCAAGCCTGTGGCGGATTCACTAAACAATCTCAAAATCTAGAACAAAGCCAAACGAAGAAAAAAAAACGGAAAGACCACGAGCTCAGCAAAAGCAAAGAAAGAACGCTGTCCATCCAGACCTGGGAATAATTATGGATTGCCTTGTTGAATCCTTTGTGGTAGCCGCGGACGACATCATCCACGAGCGCCTCAATCGCATCGCGCTGCTCTCGCAGCGTCTGCGTCGCGTCCTCGGGATTATGCGATGTGAGGACCTCGACGACGTGCGTGAGGGAGTCGAATCGAGGCTGCTTCCACGAGTCGTCGATTGCCTCGAGCTCCTCTTTGACAGCCTGCGAGAAAATTCCAGATCGAAGCATGAAGAAGAGACAGAGATGTAGATTCGAGCGATTCCAACCTCCCAATCCACAACCGGTAGCGGCTGTGCCGCCATTCCACGCGATCACAAATGGAGTAGCTGCATTGATCGATCGATCCGCGCAAAACCCTACAGCACTTTTAATGTGAATTCACCATAGCCCTAAACTACGTTTTAGATTCTACCAAATATCCCGTCACAAAGGATATTCTGTCACCGTTAGCACTGATGAAAAAATAGGTAGAAGGAAGATTCCGTTAAATTGGAGATTTAGGGCATTCACAGGGCAAATAGTCTAGATCTTGAGCTGTGGAGGCGCCGATCTGGGAGAAATCGCCCCGATCATGGGGACAAAGCTGGAGATCTTGGCGGCGCTCGCGATCCTGTGCTGGATCCACAATGCGGCCGCCTTCTACTTACCAGGTAGCTACTTGCACGCTTACCCCGACGGCAAGGATCTCTACGCCAAGGTGAATTCGCTCACCTCCATCGAGACGGAGCTCCCCTACAGCTACTACAGCCTCCCCTTCTGCCAGCCCCAGGGCGGCGTGAAGAAGAGCGCCGAGAATCTTGGCGAGCTCCTCATGGGCGACGAGATCGAGTCGTCGCCATACCGGTTCCGGATGAACACCAACGAATCCAGCATTTTCCTGTGCACCCACACGCTCTCGGACAACGATGTCAAGCATCTCAAGCGCCGGATCGACGACGTCTACCAGGTGAATCTCATGCTGGACAATCTTCCAGTGGTGAGGTATACTGTGATCCCCGACTCGGATCTTCCGCCTACGCGCTGGACGGGTTACTTGGTTGGCTTCCATCCCCCCAACGATCGCTACTACATCTTCAACCATCTCAAGTTTAAAGTCTTGATCCACCAGTACGAGGACACGGGTGTGGGATCGGTGATGGGAACCGGGGATGGATTCGACGTGGTTCCTGGCAAGAACTTGTCCGGCTACGTGGTGGTGGGATTCGAGGTGGTTCCTTGCAGCTATCCTCACGAGAAGTCGAGCACCAAGGATCTAAAGATGTATGACAAGCTTCCGGAGGTGGTTTGCGAGATGGATCGGGGGAGATACCAGGTGGTGGAGACTGGTGCGAGCTTAACTTTCAGCTACGAGGTGAGCTTTGAGATCAGCCCGACGAGGTGGCCGTCGCGGTGGGATGCGTATCTCAAGATGGAAGGCTCGCGTGTGCACTGGTTCTCGATTCTCAACTCGTTGATGGTGATCGCGTTCCTGGCCGGGATCGTGTTCGTCATCTTCTTGAGGACTGTTCGCCGGGATCTCACCAAGTATGAGGAGCTGGACAAGGAGGCGCAGGCACAGATGAACGAGGAGCTCTCCGGGTGGAAGCTCGTTGTGGGCGATGTTTTCCGGCCGCCACCTCACTCGAAGCTGCTGTGCGTCATGGTTGGAAGCGGAGTACAGATCCTCGGGATGGCCATCGTCACCATCTTTTTCGCAGCGTTCGGGTTCATGTCGCCGGCGTCGAGGGGTATGCTGCTCACGGGAATGGTGCTGCTGTACCTCTTCCTCGGCATCTCGGCTGGCTACGCTGCTTGCCGGCTGTGGAAAACTTTGAAGCTGGGTGATTCTGCCGGATGGAGGTCCATCGCCTGGAGAGTGGCCTGCTTCTTCCCGGGGATCTCGTTCGTCGTCCTCACCTTCCTCAACTTCTTGCTCTGGGGAAGTCACAGCACTGGAGCGATCCCGCTCTGGATGTTCTTCGTGCTGGTGGCGCTCTGGTTTTGCATCTCGGTGCCACTCACGCTCTTCGGCGGCTACTTGGGAGTCCGAGCCGAGCACATCTCCTTCCCGGTGCGCACGAACCAGATCCCCCGCGAGGTCCCTGCGCAAAAGTACCCCTCCTGGGTGCTCGTCCTCGGCGCTGGGACGCTTCCTTTTGGAACTCTCTTCATCGAGCTCTTCTTCATCATGTCGAGCATCTGGATGGGCCGCTTCTACTACGTCTTCGGCTTCCTCTTCGTGGTCCTGGTGCTGCTCGTCATCGTCTGCGCCGAGGTCTCGGTGGTGCTGACTTACATGCACCTCTGCGTCGAGGACTGGCGGTGGTGGTGGAAATCCTTCTTCGCGTCGGGCTCGGTGGCACTCTACGTCCTGCTATACGCGATCAACTACTTGGTGTTCGATCTCCACAGCTTGAGCGGGCCGGTGTCGGCAATGCTCTACATGGGATACACGCTACTCATGGTGCTGGCGCTCATGCTCGCTACCGGGACGGTCGGCTTCTTGACAAGCTTCTACTTCACGCACTACCTGTTCTCCTCGGTGAAGCTCGACTAAGAGAAACGCTGACAACAACGAAGGAACAAAGACTCTACACAGGTAAAGCTCTCGTTTTTCTTCCTTCTTTGTTTTTGCTGTTGGTGTAGCTAGCCGTATCTATCTAGCTTACAGTTCATGATTTATTATCTTCTTCTACTACAGTTTCCATAGCTCGAAGATTGATTATCTTCTTCTACAGTTTCCATAGCTCGAAAAAACTCTCTTTTTTGCTCACCTTTGTACGCCGAGTCGCTGCTGCTCAGTACTTTTCAGGAGCTGTTGTGTAAAAGCTTTGCGATCAAATGCTTTAAGGGGAGAAAGGAGAAAGAAAAAGAGAGAGAGAAAAAAGGCTCTTTTTTTATTTTGCGGTGCTTGGGTTGGAAGAGTGACAAGAGATTATATTAAGCAACCTTAAGAAATTAATCCCAGCCTCCCTATCTTATTAGCAGTGTAAAATGGAGCTTTCTCTTTGTTTTCTTCTTTCTTTCTGGCTCGTCGTCTTTGTGCTGTGGTTGCGCCTCTAGAAGCTCGGGAGTGGACTGGACCCGATTTGCGTTTGGCCTTCTTCTTTCTCTCGAGAAAAGTCAACACGGGCCGCGGGACTCATGACCCATGAGCAGTCCCAGCCGAGTGTTCTTATTTTTCTTCCGGATTGGAGGCCCCGGATCCATGATCCAAGGCAGGCGCAGCATTTCCGGCGTTAGCAATAGCGCCCAAACCTTGGATTCATCAAAACGAGCATCCAACCAGCGAAGGTCGACACGAACCAAGTCTGAGGTGAGTGAGAAGAAAAGCCTCTTTTTTTTCCCTGTTTGCTCTTCGGATGGGATGGAGTGGAGGAGACTAGCTTGCGAGAGATCGCTGGAATTGGTGCTTGGAGGAATTTGGTGCCCGGGTTTTTGACAAGAGTCCGTGAATTCCTCCCTCCTCGTCGGCCCTCTTTGAATGCCTGGCTGCCCTCTTTTCGGTTTGGTGATTGTTTTTGCTGGATTGTTCTTGGTGGATGTTGTGGATTTGGATTCACCAGCGCAATGAAGCCGCGGGGATGGATGGACTGACGTTTGTCTCGTTGTTGCTGCACAGGTTTAACAGTGATATCAATCGGTCAGCCGGTAGCATCATCTAAGTAGCGATATTTTCGCCCACAAAACAGGGGCAGGGAAAGCAATGGGTAGCTAGCAATCCAAACAAAACGGCACAGGTTTCTCTCAGATCAGAGCAGGCAACATCCAAGCTTGGAACTTGGAAGACAAGGAAACAAAGAATTAGTCTTCAAAGGTGGTTCTTCTCAGGGAAAAACTAGACTTTTCAGCTCGGGCTCCAGAGATCCACGGGAATTCGCCAGGAAACAACGAAAACCTGCAGGAGTGGAAGCTCTAGAAAAAGTGGCAGCGGCTTAAAAGTCTTCCAGCCGAGAAGAAGTTCGTCCCGCAGCTATAAAGATAAGAAAGCGAAGAAAAGCGTTTGAGCGGACGTCAAAGTCGCGGGTTCCAGGGAGAAAAATCGCTTTTTTCCGCCCTCCTGGAGCTCTAGCTGCAAGATCAGATGGGGAATTGCTGCGCGACACCACCCCGAGAGGCGGGCGATCAAGACTCCCACAAGCCTCGAGGGAAGAAGAAGCGATTCAAGGGCAACCCCTACGCCAAGGACAGCGAGAACGGGCAGCGCAAGCTGACGGTGCTGGAGGCGGAGCAGCGCACCGGGAGCTCGATCAAGGAGCGCTACAACCTGGGGCGCGAGCTGGGGCGCGGCGAGTTCGGCGTCACGTACCTGTGCATGGAGCAGGAGTCGCAGGAGCTGCTGGCGTGCAAGTCCATCTCCAAGTCCAAGCTCAAGACGGCGGTGGACATCGAGGACGTGCGGCGCGAGGTGGCGATCATGCGCCACCTGCCGCCACACCCCAACATCGTGGCGCTCAAGGGCGCGTACGAGGACGAGCGCGCGGTGCACATCGTCATGGAGCTGTGCGCGGGCGGCGAGCTGTTTGATCGGATCATCGCGCGGGGGCACTACACGGAGCGCGCGGCGGCGGGGGTCATCCGTACCATCGTCGAGGTCGTACAGGCGTGTCACCGCCAGGTATGTTTGATCATGTATATGCATGACAGTGCATACGTATATTTCATGCATGCATGGATATATCATACCTATGTCATGTGGTTGGTGGTGAATGATACATTTTGTTTTCCAGGGAGTAATGCACCGAGATCTCAAGCCCGAGAACTTCCTCTTCGCCAACCGCAAGGAGAATTCGGCGCTCAAGGCCATCGACTTTGGGCTCTCGGTTTTCTTTCGTCCCGGGGAGCGATTCAACGAGATCGTGGGCAGCCCCTACTACATGGCGCCCGAGGTCCTCAAGCGCAACTATGGCCCCGAGGTGGACGTGTGGAGCGCCGGCGTCATCCTCTACATCTTGCTGTGCGGCGTGCCGCCCTTCTGGGCCGAGAGCGAGCAGGGCGTGGCGCAGGCCATACTGCGCGGCGTGCTCGACTTCCGGCGCGAGCCGTGGCCGGCGGTGTCCGAGTCCGCCAAGAGCCTCGTCCGCCGGATGCTGGAGCCCGACCCGCGGCTCCGCCTCTCGGCGTCGCAGGTGCTGGAGCACCCCTGGCTGCACCGCGCGGGGAAGCACGCGCCAAATGTACCGCTGGACGCCGTGCGGACCCGGCTCAAGCAGTTCGCGGCGCTCAACAAGCTGCGCAAGAAGGCGCTGGAGATCATCGCGGAGGAGCTGTCGCAGGAGGAGAATGCCGGCATGCGGGAGATCTTCGAGGCCATGGACTCGAGTGGGCGGGGCGGGATCACGCTCGACGAGCTCAAGATCGGGCTGGCGAAATCGCCCACCATCGTCACGAACGAGTACGCCGAGGTGGAGCTCAAGTCGGTGATGGACGCCGCGGACGAGGACAACGATGGGGTGCTCAACTATGGCGAGTTCGTCACCGTGATCGTCTACCTCCAGCAGCGGTTCGACAGCGACGACCACCTCCGCAAGGCTTTTGATCGGCTCGACAAGGATGCCAACGGGTTCCTGGACAAAGAGGATCTGGCGGCGGCGCTGGCGGAGGAGCCGGGCGGCGGCGATGGCGGCGAGGTGGTGGCGGACATCCTGGCGGAGGTGGACGCGGATAAGGATGGATTGGTGAGCTACGAGGAGTTCGCGAGGGTGATGAGAACTGGCACGGATTGGCGGAAGGCGTCGCGGCGCTACTCCAAGGGACGATTCAACAGCCTCAGCAATAAGCTCATCAAGGATGGATCTCTCACCGCGACCGCATAGTAAATTCTTTTCTTCTTTGTTTTACGTTGGAGCAAGATTTTTACTCCTCGCGACTGGTAAAATTTCCGCTAGTAGTAACCTCTACGATCATAAGCTTTGGATTTGTCAATAGAAGAGATTCAACACCGTCAGCAATAAGCTATCAATCTCTCACCGCAAGGGCATAGTATATTCTTTTCTTCGTTGCTACGCTGGGCTGCCAAGATCGTTGTCTATAGAAAATGCCGATTCAACAGCAATAAGCTGGAGGACGAAGACTAGAGGGTTCAAACAAAACTATGCAATAGCTTGAATAAGCTTTAAGGACTATCATCCAACGGTACGAACAGATCGAAAGTAAGACACCAGGAGAGAATGAAGAGTGGTTGGAAAAGAAAATCAAGGAGCTTGAGCAACAGTGGCACCAGATGAGCGAGGATCGCTACATTTTTACCATTGTAGCTGCAAATCCAAAGGAGTACCGAAGGAAAGAGCACTTTCCGATCTACCAGCGCGACTCGTAAACCGCTTCCTAGACCCTCTTAGGTTGGACGAGGATGAACAAGACGAGGAAAACACACACAAAGGTTGTCATACCAGCAAAGGTGGAGCATGCTTAGGCAGCGCTGGGAAAGAGGTTTATTCGACTGGCTCTGCAAATGGAGGTACTACGTGCATGGTCGAACACTATCTACATCGATTGCACTCTCTTCGAGGTGCACGAGGCCAACGTTCCTGGCAAATGCGTGGAACAAATGGTAGAAGAAGTCTTTCTGGAGCATCGCTTCCCGACAATGCAGCCATATATAACGGGAGTAGTGTACAATGGCCATAGGATAACAGGAGTCTTGCTGAAACCAGATGAAGCGGAGACACGGAGTGAAACTATCTCGCTACCAGGGAATTATATAGATTATAAGAGGCGGAATTTGCAAACCAAAATCTATGTGCATTGATCCATTGTGGAGTGTTATCTAGATAAGAACTGATATGATTACCCTATTACATACGTATATTAAATGTTTTAAGCATAAGATTAAGTATATTTTAAAATTTATACTTGATATTTTATGGATTTTTAGAATTTTATCTTTAATAATTCTGTTAATATAAGGTATCTATTTTGAAATTGAAACTTCTATGGAACAGGATATTTATTAAAAATTCTAGAAGTTGTCTTTAAGAAGCTGAATGATCATTACCACTATGCCAACAATGTTCAAATGTTCTATGGTGAAATTACTAGAATTAATCATCTTCATAATTGTTACTAGTGTCATTCTGCTCATCTCCTCAATGTTTACACCTAAAAGTGTTATCTCTTCACTATTAGTTTTCATGTTCATCAAGTGGATCTTGAGCATCTTGCATTTGGCTAGTATGCACACCTGGATTATATCTTGCAATGGAGCTCCCTAAAGAGAACATAAAAAGTAGAAACTACTTATTCCAGGTCTACTACGCTTCACGTAATTATGGATTACACACGGGACGAAGCATTATGACATATTCTCAGCACAAAGAAGGTGGCAAGGAAGATTACCGACAAATTACTAGGCATTGGATGACACAATAAAGAGATATTCCTGACCTCTAGCACTGATTTCCTTGTGGGAGTGCATCAAGCTTAACACTGGGGCTTGTTACAGGACTAAGGACGAGAGTCTACAGCTGTGAAGCGATTGGAGGCCGTCTATGGAAATAAGCTGCCTACATCTATAAGGATTTGGTGAGATGGCCGTGTAGAGAGCTGTTGCAAGCTTGTGAGTTCAAAGAGTAAGAAAAAAGCCTTCTGTGGAAACAGCAACTACACCAGCCAGCCAGTGCTAGTGGGGATGAAGGCCCACACACAAGAGGTTTGACCGTCATACAAGTGCATCAGGATCTAGAATACCACGACCAAGTTTAGCGCCCAGAAGAGGGACACAACAACAGCCTTCACCACGCCAGGAAAAGAGCAAGTCACCAATAGGCACAAGGATGAGTGCCCAATGCTCTCCCACGGAACCAACTTGGTGCAGCACCGGGAGCAGATACTGCAACTACCCGAGTCGTGGGGAAGAAGTCCCCACAGTTTTCCGGCCGTACTTGTACGGCCCTATTCCAACTGAGTTCTCACTTCATTTCATTATATTTAACTTGTCTAGATGGGAGTCAATATGTACCACAGTCCAACGAGAAGCAAGAATTTAAATGTGACTTCCGTGCTGTTGGTATCGAAAGTTTTGCTTTGCTAATCCTCATGATGCTTGTCCTGCTGCAGGAAGAACAGCAAACTAGTAGGGGAAAAAATCCAAGGATGAACAAGTGTCAAGCAGAAGCAAAAACGTTCTTCCACTGCCACATGTGTGTTATAAGACGACCATTTTCCATATCTTGATCAGATGTTTTTATTGTCCTGCATACTTGCTAATTAGAAGCTTTGGAATACTTAGATGAAACTTGCGATGGGACATTCCCATTACTCAAGATCCGGATGCCAAGCAAAACACGAAGATGTCAAAAGAAGTGTTTTTCCAGCCACTTGGCAGTATAAACCAAAACATAAAGAGCCAGTGCCAACAAAGTTATGGAAGAAGGATGAGATGCATAAATCTTACTCGCAGGGTGACGAAGCTTATGGCAAGAAGATGGAGCCTGTTGTGCACATAAAAGTTTATGGTCTCGAACGCAACTTTTGTTTCCTTGGTGGTGAGGCAAAGAGAGTTCTAGCTCAACTTTCAATCGTGGTGCCGGATACCGAGGTGGAGGCTGGAAAGCAATCCGTCGAAGCTAAATCATGGCTCCATATGCTGCTTCCTGACACGTATAAGCTTCCAATTCCAAACGTCTGTGACGTAAAGGAGCTCGGTAAGACACATTCGTGATTCTGAAATGAATCAATTCTTACAGCTGTAGCAAATACATGACCTGAGGAGACACAGAAGAAAAGGAAGGAGCGTTTTGCCACTGCCTACCAAAAGGCCCATGGGGATTTGAGAAGAGTTGCTAACTACCTTTCAATGACGCTCACTGACTGCAAGCATATCTACTAGGAGGACATGGAAAGTCTTGTGGTGCAAGCGGCAACATGTGCTTCTCCGTCGGGTGCTGGGGCGTCATCAGTACATCCAGCACCAGAAAGCATTTGTGCGAGGTTCTCGCACAAATGAAGGACAGGGCCCGAGCACTGGACCACAATCTGCTTGTGAGCGTGTCACCTGGCATTTGGGAGGTATCATTTATCGTTGCATGTATGTGTATGTTTACTATGAGTATCACAGCTGGATCCAGATGTAGTCTTCGTTCCATCAAAATGCGAACCTTGCATGCCTGAGAGGAATAACTGGTTGCTATATCAGGTACACCATCTATTCTCCTACTTGCAGTGTCATTTCTTTGTGCTCATCTTGCAGGTTCCATTTGAATCTGAGTGGGGAAAGCTGCTGCAAAACAAGTACAAACTGGAAAGCTTTGCTTTATTGGTCTTCGATAAGAAATATGAGGATGAACCAAACATACTGCAAGAACTCTATTCCCATGATACTATGATGTAACATTTTGTGAGACATAAATCTTAGAGCTCTAAAAGTGGAGTCGAAAAGGTGCCATGTGGTAGTGGCTGAAGTGGAAGCCAAACAGGAGTA